GTTCAGCAATCACGTGAACAGCATCAGCTAAAAAGCAACAAAATTTAGTTACAAGTTGCATAATTTCAAATAGAATATACCCATAGTACTTAAGTAACAAAGAGAAAAAACTTACTATTGAAATATTCATCAAGAGCTTTGTTGATAATTTCAGCAATTTTGTCGATGCTTGTGCCTTTGTCGCCTGGATAACCACCACCAAGATCCAAAAGATATGGCTTAAAACCGAGATTGGTAGCCATATCGAATAATATCTTGCAATGATGAATAGCGCAATGGTATATCGGCGGATCTTGACATCCGGAACCAACGTGAAAGCTAAAGCCGACTACGTTAAGACCCAACATATATGCAAGACGTAAAAGACTAGGAGCCTCGTGTATCGGATCACAGCCAAATTTCATGCCAAGCGGACACTGGGCCGTTTCCGCATCGCAACGAATTCGTATAACAATCTGCAAAATATATATAAAAAAAGATATATATTTATATACATAGTAATATATGTATATATAAACAATATAATACTTCAAAAAAATAAAATTATTACTATAATTATATTTTGAAATGAGAAAATATGTAAGAAATGTAATATTTATGAAATTATTACAACATAATTACCTTAGCCGTCGGAAAAAGTTTTTTAATTTTGTGCAACTCGTTTTCATTATCTACCGTCATAGTATCCACTCTCATTGCAGCAGCATGACGAATATGTGAAGCTGGTTTAGCTGGATTAGCAAAAATAATTCTTGAAGAATCGACGCCAAGACTCAGTACTTTATTTATCTCGTTCTATATAAAATAAAATAAAGATTTGTATATGTAAAAATAAATATATATACATATATAGACATGTACTTTTCGACGAAACCCTGCATGTTAAAAAGATATATTTATTTCTCTCTTAAAAAAAGATACATTTAAAGCTTAATCATATTTACCTTAGATGCGCAATCAAAACCAACACCAAGGGCCGCTAATACCTCGATTACCATCAAATTATCATTACACTTTACAGCTGGAATTTAAAAATTTATATATAAAGAATAATTGTCATATACTTATGTAATAATATAAATCCCAAATATATAAATGGCTTACCATAATAGGGCTCAACTCGTGGCAATTTTTCTTTCCAGATTTGATGCTTTTGTACAATATCTCCTATATCCAATACGTAAAAAGCTTCTTCTTGTAAACCACTCATTGCGATATCTTTGATAACAGTCATAACATTGGACTCACTATCCAATACATGGATGCGTTCATCTAGATTTGTTACCTTCATATTGAATGAGCTTTTTGAATTAATCAGTACTCTGTAGGTGCTAGGCAGCAAACTGAAAAATCAATTTTTTTTATTAGATAATAGGAAAAAAAAAATAGATGCTATTATATACTTTGTATGTTGTATCTTTTAATAAATTTAGTATAACAAAACACATACGAGGCAGCTGTCAATGCTAATCGGGTGAGTCGTGGGGAAGCGGATTAAGACAAGATCACTGTGGGGGTGCTAGCAAAGCCACGGGGGCTCTGCATTCAGGGCCAACTTCCAGTTGTCGCAGTTATTCAAGCACTCACCAGCAGACTGGCCAACCAGCCTATCGCAGATAGAACCCTATAAAAAAAAGTCAAGAGCAATTTTTATAAATTTTTGCTAAATATTATAAATTTTATTCAATATATATATATGAAATACTGATTTGTATAAAAAGAAAATGTCTAAATATATACAAATTTTAAGTCCACGATATATGTTACTAACAAAATAGGAAAAAACAGCTGTTTAAATATTAATATACATTCATAAATTAGCATATAATATATTTAAATAATTTGGTAGCTTACTGGACACAAAATCGTATATCTTATCTGCTTATCTTACTTTTATCATGACATTGACATTAAGTATGATATTTCTTCTGAGATTAATATACTAATTGTAAGTAGAATAAATATAATAAAAAAAAGATATTATGTTTTATATTGAATTTAGTTTGTCCATTCCCTTACACATATATATGTATGTGTATGTAATAAATATATTAAAGTTTACTTTGTTTTATTTTAATTTTGAATAATTTTATTTTAAAATTTAACTTAATAAAACATATAAATTTGATCTTACCTGAAGGAAAGTAATTCTCGTTTTTTTATACACACAGCACATACATTAAATTATGCTTACGGCTATTTAAAGATTCTTGTAACAGTTTTAAAATTTAGCTGTTCCCATATATCTCATATGTAAAATAAAAATAAAATATAAAAGAAAAGGATTTTTTACGAATTATTTAAAACTTAATTAACTAAAGTAAAAGCTATAATAGCTTTGTTCACTAATGAAGCTTCTATTGATGGAAATTCAGTGTAATACTGAACTGGCAATTATTTCGGCCATTACTTATATCAAGAAGATAAGTAGTATCAGGCAGGCTTTGCGTGTTTCAAGTATACTTATACAAAATTATCTGACAACTAAGAAGTACATGAAAACCAATTTAGAGCATAAGGATAATATAAAATCCACTCAAGATCAAGAGTCAAACTTCACTGGGGATGGCTGGGAAATACCACGATTAATCTATTACATTCAAATTATGATTAATTGATTATTAATCCAATGTGCTTTTGTATTTATCCAAACTGTAAGAGGTATTTCTCTCTACATGTATTCTAGAATTATGCTATTTCTTTTAAAATATTTAATTTATATACAAGTGTGTTACAAAGAGATTTTTACATTATATTTAATTAAGTTTTTTTCCGAGTTTTTTTCGAGTTTTTACAAAATATGTTGTAAATCAATTATAAGATATTCTTTTTTATGTGTTAAAAATTTTTTCCTTTGTATGTATACTCATAAAATAAGAATGGGTATAGCTCAATAATATAAAAAACATATAACAAAATAATATATCTTTTTATACATAAAAATGTGTTAGAGAATAAAAATTGACAAAATTCCTTATCTTTTTAAACACACATAAGATAAGCTCAGACAAAACTATAAAAGCAGAATTCTTATATAATGTAATAATAGCTTTACTGGTTTGAAGAAGAAATACCAGTCTGAATAGGCTAGTACAAGCCTCAAGATATGAGTAAACACAACTACTGGCCATTCTGCAGATATTGATGTTAAAACATGTGATGTGATACAAGCGAGAAGATATCGAAAACATATCTTATAACAAGTTATATATGTATATATATATATGTATTTTTAAAATATATTATTTTAATGATAGTTTATTTGCATAATTAGTTCGCTAAAAAAATACAAACAGAACTTCTATCAAGAAATATAAACACTGAACTGGCAATAAATTTTAATTAGCAATAAGTATTGAAATATAAATCAATGAAATTAATCTATCTTTCACATTATATATATGTTGCTATGTATATATGCTTTAAGTTTATCAATGAAGAGATAAATATGTGCTGAGAAGAACTCACACAAAAATACTTTTTTATATATATACTTAAGAGTGTACAAAATTATTTTATGCTTTATATATAATAGTTTATTTTAACGTAAGTATATGATACATTTTGCAAAGTATGCTTTATATAAACACAGTACTTTATATAAGTACTTTAGAAGATACTTTCTTAATAATGTATTGCACAACATGTAAACATCAATGTGCATATGTAATACATTATCAAAAGCGAAACCAATGTAAAAATCATTTTTTTTTTTTTTTTTTGCAATAAAACGATATATAGTAAAATGATTAAGTGAACTATACCAGGAAAATTATATTAATCGGTGAACTTTGAACTAAAAGATGGGATAAACAGAAACCGACGCGATCTCAACAGAACTTGACATAGATATCATTATGCAATTAAAAAATAGTTTTCCTTTCTTTCTCTTTCTCTCGATAACAAAAAAGCTCAAAGAAAGCGAAGTGAGGAATCTATGAATCATCGTTTATAAGTGTGATTTTCACGTGATTGAGTATACCATCCCGTTGGTAGAGAGCGAGACACATACATATACAGATATATCATACACATACATAAAAAGCCGTATCGTGGGATTCTCTCCCCAGGAGAAGTCGCGGATACGTACCTTATCGAACGATTGCCACCCTGCGGGTCGGCACACGGTTATTGACGGAATGATGGAAGTTTTCGTTGACTGGATCTCAAAAATCAGTCAGATCGGTCGATGAGGTACGGATTGTCGTTCGTAGCGACCAGTGCCTGTCGTCGAGTTCTCGGTACTCCGTACAGCCTCCTTACGTCGAGGCAAGGACATTCGTTTCGTCCGTTCGTAACCCGGTTTAGGCGTTACGCGCAAACATCGTAACGTCGTCGTCGATCGTATATTTTAATCGTGTAACCGTCTAGATTTCGTTTCGAGATAAGAAAGGGCCGAGACGAGACACGTACAGAGCAGACTTCACACACCGCCAACACACCACCGCACCGCCAGCCATGCGCGCTCGAAAAGGGCAGTATAGATCTGCGTTCCAAAACGGGACAAATTATTCGCGCATGCGCACTACCGCGAATATGTAGCAGACGCGGAACTCGACCAATCCTACGCTTCGTTCTCGATGCATCGAAATGTCAATATGCCGTAGCCAATTAGATTTTGTTCTGTCCCTCTGCTTGCTGGAAAAAACTTACTTTACGTTTCATCTATTCATTGCATGAACCATGGGTAACCTGTCATTCGGTTTCCTTAATCTTTACTTTTTACCCTTTACCTGTAATATAATTTTATTTTAGCGTATGAAAAAAGTTATTTTGAATAGTAAGTTATTAATAGTAAATTATTAATTGATTGTATAACACAATGATTTGTGACTTGAACGAAAAATACGTTATTTTAAATAATGTATATGAAGCACGTCAATCCAACGACGATCACTTTTTTGTAAAAATCAAATTTCTTATTGATACATATATCGTTTCAGAAAGTTTTACAATCATACATAGGATAAAGGAATAAAAGAGATAGTCTGTTGAGAAAGAAAGGGCTATTAAAATGAATTTTATATCGTATATTAAATCTGATTTTCAATATGCATAAATTTAAAACGCTGAATTCTTCAAAGTCATCATTAGGACGTCTTTATTCCAGTAAGCCAAATATTAAATCGTCAAAAAATCATTATGATACATTAAAGATTACACCACATGCTACTCAGAATGAAGTGAAATCAGCGTACTACAAATTATCTCTTCAGTATCATCCTGATAAAAATAAGAGCGGGTATGCAAGAGAGAAGTTCCAAGATATCTCAGATGCCTACGAAGTACTCGGCAATCATGATCTGCGCAAGAATTACGACCGAGATATAATGATTCGTCAGTCACCAATGTCTACTACTGCTCAAGAGCCTATATCTTATTATAAAGACAAGGTTTACTCAGATAGTTCAAAAATTTATAATTTTGACGAATGGACGCAGGCACATTATGGAAGGCAAATGCATATGGCTCGTATAAGGAGAGATATCTATGACCAATATAAACAGATGGAACAGGTGAACCGCCGTAAGAGGAATAATCCTGGAGTTATAGAATTTATCCTATTTTTGTTCACTATAACAATAGGTGTTATATATATGGAACATACGGTAGATGTACCAGCATCTAAAAGTAAAAAACATATAGAAGAAAGTAATAAGAAAAACAATTAGTCAATGTATTTATTTTGAATTGTATAAATTAATATTTGTTTTAATATTAAATGTACAAATTTATTTTTATGCCACCTATCTTATTGTTATACTTACTAGTCAAATAAAGAAGATATTAAATAGATCATAGTAAAAGAGAGTATTTATGCACTATATTATCTTATATACCCCACAAAAGGATGCTATGCATACATATTAAAAGTTGTTACAACACATATACATAGTTAATACATTAACTGTATATCAAGACACTAAAAGAATCAAATATCTTCACAATATTTCAGAAGTGTTACCATTAAAAATATAAGATTCAGATAAATGTGTAATAATATATAATAGCCATATATGATATATATTATGCAATATATATAAATCACTTAATATAAAAATAATAAAAAATTAATTTGCAAAAAGAAGTTATATGTAAAGAATAGGTAAAATCAAATATTATGTGTGCTGCGACTAAATATGTAGATATATTTTAAAAACAAATAAATATGGAACATGTAATATTTCAAATTATTTAATATGGCCTATAAATTGGTAATCCCGATGGCAATGGCATTGGCATAGCTACAGGTCCTGTCGGATACGGTATAGAAGGCGTTATTCCAGGGAAATTTGAAGCGATTGGATAGCCAGGAGTACTGTTCGAAGAATGTCCTTTTCGTATAAGTTCTCTCAGTTTATCCACTTTTACTTTACGCAAGTGCATAAATTTCCTTCGCGACAAAAACTGATCCAAAAATTCATCCACTTCGATATCACCGGCTAGAAATTTCTCCGCTATTGCCTACATATTGAAAAAATATAATTTAATTTAGATTACTTTTGTCAAATAAATTAAATAAGTATAAAAGTATTTTATATGTACCTCTGATTCTTCTTCAATTTCAGCCGCAGCTGCTTGCAATAGATCAAGTGCAGTGTCAACAGTCATTGTACCAGACTTATCACCTGTAAATATATATCGTTTTATATATAGATATATTGTCATTATACATATAAACAATAACTTACGCATTTCATCTAATTTGTTTCTGACACTAGTACACAATTGATTAGCCTGCTCGCTCAGCTCTTTTAATATCTGTTTGCCCTCTTCCAATTCAGGTTGTTTGGACAAGTTAAATTCAGCCAAAGATCTATTGCTTGCCATTAACATTTCCTTTTCAGTCTCAAGATTCTTAAACTAATTTTGATTTAACATTAAAATAGTTTACTTTTATAATATTCTATAAATTATTTATAAGAATTATTTATTATTCTTTAAATTATTTATTAGAATTTATTTATTATGATACATATAATTTAGAAACTTATAGATTACTCAAATTACTAAGTAATGTTAGACTTCATTTAATTAAACTTAATGCCTAATTACGTAGACTTAATATTACAATCGTATTACCTGCTTTATATCTTTCATGATATCTTCGAATTTTCCATCGTTATTTAATAGTTCCTTCAACTCATCATTGTCCAGATGAGACAATAAACCCAGAGCCGCGGGTATATCCGGTTCCTGATTCGATTTGTACATTTCTCTCAAGGGTTAACAATCTTTTTATCCGAACGTTTATTCACTGTTTTTTGGATTATTTATTAAATGTAATGCAATAATGTAATGACAGATTAACTCCAAAGAGCATCAGATAATCTAACCTAACTTTAATTCTTTGTTCAGTGCCATTTCTTGTCAGATCATCATGTCATCAGTCAGATGATCGCCTGCTCTGTTGGTAAAATGGTTTTGAGTTGTGTAAAAACAGTGCTGCCGCCAGGTGACGTGGTGTACAATTAATCGGCAGTAACCGGTGAACTTTTCAAACGCGAAACGCGAGGAGAGTCCAAATCGATCCCGCGATGCGATAGAATAATAGCCGACAACTTTCTCGACGCCCGGCCGACGATTAACGCACCGATTACTTCGAAGAGGAAAGAAGACAAAAAGCAACAAGAGATATGGAATCCGCGATCGGGCATCTCGAGCAAAGCGTAAGTATAATTTCAAGTATATTTACGTTTTCTGCAAAATTCCGTCTCGTTCGTCGCACAATCGGTGCAACGGAGATAGTGCCATCCGTTCACGACTGTTCAAGCAATACTTCAAATAATGAATTTTCTCGTGATTTAGGTACAAAAAGCTGACGGAAAATTGGACATGATTGCATGGCAGATAGATGCTTTCGAAAAAGCTTTCGAGGATCCGGAAGACGAGGTAAGAATTTTTTTGCTTTCGACACAAATAGTATGATTATGAGTTAGTCATACTTTTATCAAATTTGTTCTTTTTAGCTATGCTTCGCATTTAAATACATGCTGTATTTAATACAAATTAAATATGCAGGCTATCTTGCTTTCCTATTAAAATAATTATCGATTTTGAGTTTCTTTACTCAATTGGAGACTAAAATCTTAAGATGATATAATGTATACATTTAAAACAATTTGATAAATATACTTGTCTAAAAAAGTATAGCTAATTTGATAAAAATTGAACAGCCTGCATAAATCTCGTACTTAGAAGAAAAAAGAATATAATAGATTGTAAAAGATAGAATATATAAGAGTACAACTAAAAAGAACAAATATCTTGTGTTGTATCTGTATCAGAGAGAGTTCTCTGACGATGTATTGAATAAATAATGTCACATTGCGTTTATTGGACAATTCCTGCTTGAAGCCAGGATGCTCCATTTTACTTGGCGTTAAATATGTCCTGTACGACGTCATGTTTGAAAGTTTTTTGTGTGCACTTTATTGTTTGCCATGTTTTTGGGATCTTCAATCATCAAATCGCTTTTCATTTTGTGCTTTTAACAGATATCTGTGCTTCGCCTATTACACTCTGTTCATCAGGTTACGAAAGATTATCAAAATCTCCGTCAAGAAATTTTGGAAGTTCAACAGTTACAGAAACAGCTTTCTGATTCACTTAGAGCTCAGCTTACACAGGTGCACGGACATTTTAATTTATTGCGCAATAAGATTGTAGGACATAAATCACCGCAGCTGAAATAAAAATCAAGTTTATTATATGTTTGGAAAAAGTCTCTGATATATTTTTTAGGATATTATTTGAAAAAATTTGCACATGCTTTTCGTGAGATGCAAAGTAAAGTTCAAAAGCACATTGCATTGAGGAATCATGTGTATCTACACTTTCTATTATAAAAATATTCATATCATATAAAAATATAACAAACTACAAAAGATGATATCCATAATTTAAAGAAACAAAAATATGTTGCACATATTTAAGAAATATTTCGACATTTTCTTAAAAACTTTAATGATATAATTAAAACATCTAACAATATTATAATCAATATTTGTTATATTATTTTCTTATATGCATTATTTAAAAAATTTTAGAAATTTTTAACATTGAACTTTCTTTATAAATGGAGCGAGGGATCAATAGTATTATTGATACATAACTTATTTGACTTTTTTCTCTTATACCTTAAATGTAGTAATGGGGGCCAATCTATGTGGTGGTATGTTAAGAACAGTATATCGAAACACATGTCAGATTATTTCTTATTAAACTCATGTTGTTTACATTATAGCCCCTATTATTTGTTAATCAACATTTTATAAGCATATTAACAGACAATGCAATATTTTGTTCAATCTGCATACAGAAACTAAAATCTCTCAGTAGTGCATTAATTGAATGGCTAAAAAGTGATGTTTGTGTATTTTTATTATTATTATTATTATTAGAATTTTTATTTTGTACATATTTTTTATACCATTTTGACGACAATGGTGTTATTAAGAACTTAAGTTTCTCGTGTATATCAGTCATGAAATTTTGAAACATTGGAATTATAAGCTTAGCATGGTATCTTTGTGCATTTCACATCTAGCTTTAGATGAGTTACATATTTATGCTTTCGTAATACGAATTTTGAATTTCAGATAGCAATTTCGGAAATGCTAAATAATGTAAACGACTTTAAATATTTTTATCTTATTTAGTAGCGCTACTAACAACGTCTGTATTGCATACATACTGAGTTTACGCATAGTGCAACACGGAGACAGATCGTGCGTATATATGATACTTACATCGATAATGATCAAACAATTGACTATAGAAATAAACATTAATATCATGTAGAATTTTATTTGCAAGTATCGTAGCATAAATAAGAATAAATCTTCCTTTTGTAAAATGTATCTTATAATTTGTCTTATCATGTATTACATTTTATAACATATGTAGCAATACATATTTTTATATTTTGATATTTTGCTCTTATTGTGTTGTATTGTATTATATATAAATTTTTTAGAATTAATTGAACAACTAATATTTTTATGTATTAATTGGGGAAACGGAAAACAGTTTTTTAAAAATTTATTCTTATGTAGAGCAGCTAAAAAATTTATGAATAGTCTTCGGAGAGATATTAATAATATGTTAATCTTGTCATATATAACTTTTTAATAAGCACATAAATAATTATTTATCTCTCTTTATGCATAGAGAGAAATAACTTTTGCAACAATACAAGTTATTCAATAATATGTATATATAACTGAAAAGCATTGTATATCCAAAAAATTCCCAAAATATTTCCATAAATTTACAAATATAGACAAATGCTTATGTGTTTAGCACGCTCAATGTTTTTCTTGAAACACACAGTTCAATATCTTCTAATTTGCAGAAAAAATGAATGTAATATGAAGGAAGATGGAGAACGCGAGATAAATGTATAAAGATAATGTATTGGAAACTCGAGAAATGGAAAACATTATTGCCTTAAGAAGTAGATGCGCATTTACGTATACTATTCTTCAATTAGAGATACATAACACTTACACGCACTATATGTAAGCTACAATAATTTATTTAATGTATTTTTAAGAAACCTGTTCAATGTTGAGCTAATAGAATTTATGATTTTTTTAAATTGTTGTTTTTTTTAAATTGTTTTCAGATATAAAGCATCTTATATTGAACATGTTGTAATACATGTGATCAATTCTTTAGCATTATTTATTATCTGTATAGATTTACTATGCGAATTTATCCGAATTAATGTTTATTATCTAATCATTTGATAAACAAAATAAATATTGTATATAGCAAACTTGAATTTTTATAGATAGAGTAACTGAGTTTCATGATGATAAATGTATTGTTTGCTGTTACACATGTAATGAAATACGCGCTATTCCGTTCCAAAAAAAAAAAAAATAAAATAAAAATGCTGTCGACTTACTCGTATTCTTACAAATAGTCGATTAATGGTGTCCCGCGGAAAACTCCTCCAAGTCAATATTATTATGCAAAAAAACCAATGTTTTTGATATTCAGTAACTCGCATTATTACTGTTAGGTCTATTACAATTAATCTATATTGCGATTAATCGAGATGTATCTAGCCCGGTGCGTTGAAAAAATGGGGAAAAAGTAAATTTTTGCATTACACTTGTATTAATCGTGATATAAATCATTGTATCTCGTTCTATAGTTATCTGAAAAATTAAAAATTAATAGATAAATATTATTTTTTTATTTTGATAGAAAGAGAGAGATATGTATAACACTGTCAGACCAGAGTCATATGCATCCATTATTTTTCGATATAACAATTTGTTCATATGCATATTGCGATTTTCAATGTTGCACTGATACATATATACTATATATATATGTATAATGTGTATTGCAATATAATACTTAGTAATTTTATTCTTCGATACATATGACTTTGTTGATACAGAGAACCTAGATCTTGATAGATAGTCTGTTGTTTGTTAATATACCTAATAAGTAAAATAGTTCTAAGATATAAATTAAGAGAAGAATTATCTGGAGCACATTGAAAACACGTGCCAAAAATTTGATCAGTTAGCAATACGTTGTTTATTTCATTGGAAACAAATTGCTCGCGATTTGTTTCCTCTTACAGAATCTTACATATCACGTTGAAAATCTTTAGAACATTTATTGCACTTTTTCTCAAAATACTCCCTAAAAGATTCGTAAATTTTTTCATTAAAAAAAGTAAACGATCTTACGAGATTAACACATTTAAAGATTATTTGATATAATTGTGTAGATTTATAAGATCATATTGGTTTATTAAAGGACGAAGCATAAAACAATGTAATTTCTTATAACTTGTATAAGTTGAGCAAGTAAATTCTTTTCGAGTCTTAAGATGCGATATTCTGGCATTCTAATTAATTAATTATTAATAGAGAAATATAATTAACTATTAATAGAGAAATATAATTATATTTCTCTATTCCAAAATTATTGACTATTCGTTAGCTTTCTTCCAAATTAAAAATTGTTTTCTAGAAATAAGAGAGAAAAATAATAATTTCTTTTTTTTTGTGTGACACAACACATAGAAATTCGTGACGCATCAGTTGAGAAATGATGTATAGCATTTCAAACATTTAAATATTTGTCGCGCTCGCTTATCACGGTATAATCGTGCTATAATCATAATGTGCTTCGTTCTTAAATAAACATCTTGTACATATTGGCTAATAAATGGCACATACAACAACTCGCTGCACGTTGCATGCATAGATACAACGTCAATCAATCGCATATTATTTAGTACATTATTCAATTCATTCTTATTAGAATCGCGAATATATTTACATAATGTATATAATCATACAGTTATAACTTCAGTACAGTTAAAGATGTGAGGGTGTATCGAAATTAATTTTAATTATATTACTTTATATATTTATTTAAGATATTTCGCGCGCGCAAAACTAAAAGTTTAAATAAAAGTTGTAATTAAGAAAGTGATATATATTATTACTTTCTTATAATATATACAAATAAATTATATATATAATTTAATTATGTATATAAATTATTATAAAATTGATTTCTAGGGATGAGTCTTTTAGTTATCGAGATTTAGCATGTACTCTGGAATTGTACATATATAATTGCAGTATATCAAAATATTAAAATTTGTCGATTATTTGTCAGTCTATTATATACAATTGCTCAAAATTTCGATGTATATTAACAAATACGATTTAACAGAAACTGTATCTTTTTAGATATTTATCGTATTATTACGTAATAAATTATTATCTCTGTAGCAAATCCCCGAGAACCCGATATTTTTTATTATTATAGTGTTAATATAACAATAATTATATGAGCGATCGAGAATAGAATAAGAGATATATAAGCTTCTCAAAAATCGAACTAATCAACTTTTTAAAAATTAAAAAAAATTAAGAAATTAATAAAAGAAATTAAGAAATAAAATAAAATAAAAATAATGCATTAATATACAATAACAAAAAATTAAAAAATTTGCACAAAATGAGGTTGATCAGTTTGGTTTCTGAGAGATTTATATTTTGATGAAACCATTCTCTCAAAAAGCTTTTCGTCTCACCCCGTCGAAGCAATGTTACTTTAAATATCAGGTACGAGGTCAAACAAGCTAAGAGCCTAATCAATTACTCATTTCCCCTCGCTAACGCCCACGGCGGAGAGGTGCTTTTCAAAGAGCTGCACTATTTTGAACGGCACACGTTTGCGTTGCCTCGAGGGAGAAGATAAAAGATGCACAGGAAAGTGCTAGATAGTCTTTTACTATGAAACATCGATGAAAGCAGAAGTATCTGTTCCGTTTTACTGGTATGACTTATTAACAATGACTGCATATATTTATAATTGACGGCGAGACTGGAGAATACACTGTGCCAAACAGCACAAGAGAACGGCGAGCGATTTGACCTCGTAGGTGGACCCAAGCGAGAACCGGTTATTCCGCGCACGGATCAAGGAAAAGCGTCTCTCGAATAAGAGCGAGGTTGTAGACCTTCGCCTACGGTGGAATCCTCTCCTTGTATTAGAATATGTAGGCACGCATTTACAATGTGCATTCAATATGCATTCAATATCATTCTCTATGCAATAGTAAGCTCATTCATAAATATTAATGACCTTGTATCGCAAACTTAATCAAATGTGATTCTTACACTTGATGCAGACTATATAAACCATTCTAATGAATTGCCATTAACTAGAAAATGTACAGAATATACCGGAATTGCGTGATGTCTTTTTAATCATTAGCCTCTGAGACTAATTTGTAGTCTATTTTTCTTTAGCGAAAGTGTCGAGGAGGATTGTTATTACAACTTTCCACAATCTGCAGCATTATATATCTTTGCGCGTAACAAAGTTTGAAATTAAAATTCTTCATAACTTACCTCGACATTGTCACTGGAAAAATTGATATCAAATAAATCGGAGAATCAAATCGTTAAAATTAAAATTATGGCGTATGTATAATCTTATTAGAGCTTTTGGAATATGCTGAGCTTAAGATTTTTAAAGATGTGTCAATTCTGATCAATTTTGAGTTAAATGACCGACGAGAAGTTCGTTTTCGTTTCCGCGTTTTGGATATAATGATTGAGGAGCATGTCATTCGTGAATCGTGCGGATCTCTCTATCGATTAGAAACTTATAGAAATCGCGCGCGAGGACAGGCAAAAAAAAAACACCCGCGTGATTCTCTTCCTTTCTAGGATGTTTGCATTTCGGCTGACCGCGAGCGGTAGCTTTCCGCTCAATTTCCACCGTTGTCGTGGGAAAGTATTCTCGTTCCGCCCACGATACGGATATCCGTGCGGGACGATTCACGTGCAGCGATGCGTTTTGAAAAAAAGACACAATCGCGAATTGTAATGTTCATTCTATGCCGCTCCAGCATTTTATTGGTGATATTATAGAAGATAAAATTTACAATTTTTTTCAAAAGAATAATACAGAGTTTATCAATTTACAAATATAAATATCTTATAAATATTTTATATAACTATTATATAAATATAAGGGTATAATAAAAATATGTTAGAAAGAATTATTATTAGAAATAATATTTTACGTAATTTACAATTCAAAAGATAACATATATATATATATAAAGAGAAAATATTGGACATCGTTATCTCTAATGTGTTGTATATTATTCTTCTTATCAGAAATTATTCTAATCAATAATATATTAAATGGGCCTTCTTATATATTCATCGTGATGAAACTTTCAAATACCTCAATTGTACGTCGGCCGCGCCGACTACAAAAGCCGGATGCAAACGTTCAAGGAGCGTGTCTAGTGAACCGTAGTCGTCGGCCGGAAAAGATCTGAAAGAGGGAATCCTGCGGATGGAGTGAGAGTGGTCGTAGCGCGAATATTTTTCTATTGATAAACTTGCGTTTATCGCAAGCTCGGAAAATACTTTCTGTTTAATCTTCCAGCGCGAAAGTGCAACTGCTCGAGATATGACATGTATACGGGCGTATTGCGTGCATGAACGCTTTCGTTATATTGACGAGGACAGAAAGAAAAATTTGTGAAAGGCACCAATCTTTCATCGAGAAATGAAAAAAATCTCTTTGTCTTCACGACGATACCTTGGATGCGTGAGATATTTGATCTCATAAAATTCTGGCTAAAATTATTTATTAATAAAAGCATTGTTTCTCGTACTTTTTGAAAATTTCATTAAAAGAGTCACTCATTTCTAATATTTAAATAATTCAAGAATTTTTTCTCCATATTTGTATTCTTTAGATTTGTTCAAGAATATATCATTACTGCTGATTCTTTTTTGCTAGAAGAATAAATTTTTGATATAAGCGTTTAATATAAAGACATGCGTGTTGAAGTTTTGCATCCACAGCGAACCAAATTCGAATTATGATCTTACGCGCATGCTTTGATTTTCGAAAAATTAAATTGCCTACCCGAGGAGCGCCTTGTTCTAATAACCTACTCCTACACCGATGGGCCAGACCATTCGCTTGCTTGGTCGGTCGGTCGGTCGGTCCCCCCAGCGAGGTGTCGAATTCAGTCGTCGACCGACCGGTTCGGGGCCCTGTTCGCCACAACGGGTCTGTCCGTCGTGGCCAATGCGGGAAAGCGGGGCCTTCACTTCTTTCATACCAAGAGGTAAGTACCAAATAAAGAATCTGCAAAGAGAGAATCAAACTCGTTATTTTTCATTTGCAAAATTGTAATCGGTATAACATTCGTTCGTATTATCGGTCATTCGGGAAAGTCAATTTGTTTAATAACTAGTCAGAAAAAATTAAATTCGTGTCGAATTTTCTAAATAAATTGTAATATATATTATTGAATTTCAAATGTGAAATTAATCTTTTATGCTTTATAATTGTTTCATATTTTGAAGAGCCTTTTGTTTATTATTTATATTATTTTATTGCATATTATTAATTACTCAACTGTTGGTACTTTTACTCAAAAAATAAATCAATATCAAAGAATCTATCATTCTAATTTTCATTCTGAGATATTCTGCATATTAGTTTGTGAAGGAAAGCAACGTGTTAACATTTTGTATATGGATTATTAAAATGTGTGATATGTTAAATATCTTGTACTTTTATATGGAAGCAAGAAAAATTTGTATAATATGTGGCTCTAAAGATTCCCAGAACATATATGAAACTTTATGAGAAAGTACAGTGTCATTCAATCTTTTATCTTGATGTAATTACAATATTTCACAGGAAAGTCAGAACAGCTTATATGTATAGAGTCGAATTAACATATAAATCATTAAACGCAATGTTTAAATCTGAAACAAAAATTCTCACGGGAGGAGAATCATCCTTATTTTTCTCAATCTTCAATTTTAGATTTTTAGGCTCTTATCTTGAAGCAACTATTTATTCTGCGATATCTGGGATATCTCACGCGTGATGTATCGGTGTAATAACCGATTCAATGAGCTCTTTCGTCATTGTGTCCCGTGCTTTCGAATGCGGCTGGTATTTTAACGACGATTTTAGTGCTTTGGTGGTGAGATCGCGATCGATGAAACAGCGAAATTAACCCTCTTACAACAGTCTAGCATATAATGCAGTATGCTCTGAATGAGACTCTCATTTGACCTTGATTAATATGTGCGTGTGTCCTTATAACGATTTCTAATGCAATTTCTTTGTCGACTTCGTGCTAATCGTCGTCGATTTGTATAATTTACGTGTGCGTTTCTCCGTTATTTTTCAAGCAAAGTGCTTGTGGTTCCGTACAGTGAGAAAGGTCATCAAACCTGCGCGCGGTCTCTCTTCTATGGTTGTTGACCCGTGAATACATCGTCTTAGTTGCCATTTTTGTGCAAAATAATAAATCTCAATTATATTTTTTAGTCGGAAATAACACATGATAAAATATATAATAGTAGAAATGACAAAAATCTGTAAAAAATATGGCTATGCTTAACTGTGAGAATAAAAATGAAATTAATATGAAATCTACATAATAAGGAGGTCATGAAAGGAGAAAAGATATTTCGTTCCCTTTTGGATGAAACATAGTCTTCTTCTCTAAGTGTTAGCACAGTGTGAATTATTGTAGCTAGCATAGAAAACTAATAATCTACAGCAGAAAATCTCCAGAAGAAAATTGATTTGCATTGTATAACCACAAGAAAAAATTTCACATTTGAATGCATATTCTAGCATGCGTATAAATTCGCGCTTTCTAGCGATTGCATTGTTCAATTGACATTTACCTAAAGAGATTTTCATCTGAATTTGAATTTTTTTACAGAGGCCGGCTTGTCTTGCGACCAGACATGCGTTTCCTCGTACTTAATCTGATGTTATTAATAGTGAACTTGCTAATCGTTGGAAAAGTTTCCGCCCACGGAAGACTGATTGAGCCACCCTCGAGGGCCTCTATGTGGAGATACGGCTTCGACACGCCTCACGATTATAACGACCACGAATGTTACTGCGGCGGCTTCACCAGGCAGTGGCAGCGAAACAAAGGGAAATGCGGCATCTGCGGAGATCCCTGGGATTCTCCAACAGTGAGTCCATCTGAAAAAAAACCGCTAAATATCAGTCAATATCGCAAAAAGCAAAACAGCACATGTTTAAAACAAGAGAATTAAAGCTTCGATTAAACTCTATTTCTTTTTGTTTTAAGAAAGATTGAAACAATTCGTATAATTTGCATATATGTTATATGTAATGTTAAAGATATATCAGTTTATTATATTGTTTTAAAAATCAAAAATTAAAAGCCAATTGTATCTATTTTCAATCGGCCTTGCAAATGATAATGAAAATTTGAGAATTTTAATTTACGAATTATATATCGGGTGACATAAAAAATCTTGCAAAAGTAGCGCTATTCTCGAAAAACATTATAATTTGGCTGCACTATAATTATTTCGTAGCATGCTTCTTGCAACACTAACCACACACCATTATACGCATGATCTCTCGCTCCATTGACCGTAGAATATCATACAATACCGCTAATGTCGACACGTTTCCGAAAATTGTATGGTACAAATACACGATCTGCTCATCGACTCCAAATTATTTCTCTTATTTGTTCTAAATATTAATGCAGTCAAGTGCGTTAAAAATTATTTACACAATAAAAAAGCTGCTTGTGGCTAAGCAAACAATTATTATGATAAATGTCGATCGTATGATATAATTAACATAAATTAATTACACTAGTGCTGATTCAATTATTAGTGCCTAATTGGTACAATCGTCAACAAGTAAAACTTTCACCGTTCGTAAAAAATTCGTACTACGGAGATTATGATAATAACATTTTCGGCTGCTGTTGGACACTTATTCGTTTCTTCCTTTCTATCTCTATGAAAATGAATGAAATGCATCTCAAAAGTCGCGAAGCGCATATTGTTACTTTGCATAAAGTTACGCGTAATGATTCGTGACGAGAGAAAGGAAGATATAATTACTTTCCTCACTACATAATAATAATAGAGCGGTTTTGCAACTATCCATTGATTCGCTTTAATAAATCAAATGCAAGCACTCGAGTACGAAATCACGTATTAAAAAAATATAGAAAATATTTCAATCAATCTTATATCAATGCTAATTATTTAGTCTGCATTCCTAAATATTCCGTAAATTATAAATTGTATAAAATGGGCTCCATTCGATATAAAAATATAAAATCCTGTTCTGAATCTTGAAAATTAATTATCGTTTAAAATGATTTTACTAAACATCATTATAAATAATTCTGCGAATCTTCTACACGTATGTGCGGCACATAAGATAATAAAATTACATACATACACGATTATAGAGGCAGAACTTTGCTCTCACCTTAATTACGAATTATGGATTTAAACTGGGTTACAGAATCCATGCACGAATGGAGATTAAAAAATGGAGACCGTTAATTAATCGCGCTTCTCTGGAGACTTTCGTGATCCGGTCTCGCGTTCCACCATCATTACGTTTTCATTGCGAGTTTTTTAATGCGGGACGCTTGGCCTTGATACGTATATCTGATATCGTACGGACGAAAGTAGCCCAAAACAGAAGTGAAATCCGTCTTCTTCCTCTTTGGATGTCTTTTATTGATACTCACGTAATTTTCTTTCCTGTTTGACAATGTGTTCCGAGAGAATTATTCCGATAAATATATAACATAAATATATAATAAATAAGAAAAAAAATACGTACATAAAGTAAAGAGGATTTTATTCTATTTTATCTTAATGTATTTTTCAGCCACGTGCTCATGAAACGGGCGGCAAGTACGGGAACGGCGTGATTGTCCGGCGTTACCGGACCGGATCCATCATACCGGTCCGGGTGGAGCTGACGGCGAACCATCACGGCTACTTCGAGTTCCGCACCTGCGCCATGACCTATCGCGATCAAGAGGTCAACCAGGACTGTCTGGATCGTCATCTGCTATCCGCCAAAAACGGATCCACTCGTTACTATCCTGGTCCCGGTAACCGGGTCTTTGAGGGCTACTACAAGCTACCGGAAGGTCTGACCTGCGCCCAATGTGTCTTCCAGTGGCGATACATCGCCGGCAATAATTGGGGCGATTGCGGCAACGGCACGGGTACATACTATTCCTTGATGTTTCAACCGTAGAATGCATATATACACATATATATAGCATAGCTGTGTAAAATGTGGACGATCAAAACTTTGAAAGTTAATATCTCGGTTAAACATGCAATAGGCTGGAAAAATAAATATGTCGTTTGATGAACTTAAAACGAACGAGATTAGTTTAAAGTAGATCAACAAATTAGTGTATAAAAAATGAAGTCTGCATTTATACATTTATGTATACATTTACTGTCATATATTAAATGTAACAAATGCTAGAAAGTATCAATCATGTTGCAACAATTTAATCGTTATTGATACCATTGCTTTGATATCTCATCAAGATTCTATTGGCGCAGTAGAAAGTGTTGTTACTTTATCCTGTGTGATAAGAATGATTCAAGAGTTATAATTTTCCTTGCACACACACACATAACATCGTCTTACTAAGTAAAGTCTAATTTGTTCTATATATACATACAAATTGGTATGCTAATGTAATTCGTGATATTTTTACCAAGATTCAAACCAATTACATATTTGGAAAGAAAGTGGTATAAACAAACATTATTTATAATATTTGTATATGATCAGATAGAAAGCATTCTTGTCTCGTCTCGTGTTACACACAATTTTACGCTGTGAAATCATACGATGATGTTTATAGGAGCGGTCGGATGTGGGCCTCAGGAGGAGTTTCGAGCCTGCGCCGATATTTTGATCGGCGACAACGAGGCGGCATTACCGGCGATTCTACCGAAGCAGCCGACGTCCACTTCTACCTACGACGAATCGTCGACAAGTTCACCGTTACCGAAATCCATCGGGCCGTACTGGCTCTTCAGCGTTGTCATCGCCGGTACGTGCCTGTTGGTGGTGCTGGCCGTTATGGCGTTGCTTTATACGTACTACTATCACGCCGGCAGAGCCAAAAAGTGGCTCATGGCGAGGAGATCTCTGGCGCAGGAGAGTCCACCGCCGGTCGCCCCGCCGAGACACAAAAGGCATCATCACATATCGAACACGCAGCTGCAATTGTAGAACTCTGTACTCGATTGTCGATATCACACATTTTGGAAAAAAGGATAGTTATGTTTCGAATGGATCACTGTATGATATTCTTGTGATGCTTGAAATTTTCTCCTACTTCTGTAGTCATCACAGATTGAAACCCATAAAGAACCATTAGCAAATTACATTTCTCAAACGATGTATTAACATTTTTATAGGCGCACGTATTTTGTATATATAAATATTTTATATTAAAAGTATTTATTTTATATATAATCGTATATATCTCTCTCTTGTGATATATATTTTCCTTCCTGAAACATCACTCTGTATGGAAAAATTAATCCGTACCAAGTTTAAATTAATGCTTAGCTTTGCACAGAAGAAAATTTTGAAGTAGTATATAAAATGTACAATTAAGTACAATTTATACAACTGTTTAATATACAGAACTTCTCATAGTTATCACACATTTAACATTTCAATACATATTTACCTCATATGTACTTGCACTTTTATCAGATTAATTTTTAATTCATCATAAGACAGATTCACTATAATAGCATATACTGTAACATACTAACACATGAAATGGTGTTGTATTAATACGTGGTCGCGATGTTGGTAGATTGCGACATGATTATATAATATCAAATTATTTTTTATTGAGAAACATATTCTTGAAATCCTGATTGTCCATCGATTGTGCGGCTCCATTTTTATTTGGAGCCGCGCTACCGTTACTGCTACTCATTTTAACATTACGCGGTACCATAGATAGCAAGGTCTTGGGCAGACCGAATGTCGTACGCCTTGTCGTTGTTGCACCCAATGATTTGATCTGTCTCTCATTTTCCTCTGTTCGATTTTTTTTGTGATCGGGTGGTCGACTTATCGCGACGCTGATCACTTTGCCCTGAATATTTGTACCGTCAGTAGCCAAAAGAGCTCTCGCAGCAGTTGCTTCATCTTGATACTCGACATAAGCGTAACCCTTTGAATGTCCATTACGGTAAGTAGCCAGACGAATCTCCTTCAAATCTCCATGAATTTTGAATATTTCTTCGAGTTCTTCTTTCGTCATTGTAAGTGGAATTCCTACAAAACGCAATATTGAAGAAAATATTATTTGGAAGATTTAATTAAACAGTTTTGCATTAATAAACGAAATAACAGATTGTGATTATATGAAGAAAGCAATTTTGCAACTGTAATTTATTATATATTGTGCAATTTGCATAAAATTTTTGTATACCTCTAACAAAGAGTTTTTTCTTTTCGAGTGTAGAATTAAATTTGAATCCAGAGTCTCTGGTATCCTTATTAGGATCGCATCTTGAGATAAACATAGGACGTCCTTTTAAAGGCGTCCTATCTAATTTCAAAGCTTCTTTCGCAGCTTCCTGTACAATAGTGAAGATTAAAACAATGTAAAACAATTTCATTATCTAAATGCTTTAAGATTTGTAAATGGGACATGAAAACGGAACTAGAGATATTATAATAATAATTTATGCTTATATATAAAGTATACTTTTCCAACCATTATAGTTCTTACTTTTTTTTGCATCTGTGTGAAGTTCCGTTTTCATTCATAGCTTTCTTTCGTCAATCAATAAAGTAATACATACTGCGCTGCTCAATTGTACATAGCAATATCCTTTGCTACGTCCTTTGTAATCCTTAACCATCTTGACTAACGTTATCGGTCCAACTGATTGCAGAATGTCTGTTACTTCATCTTCAGTTGCTGTATAATCTAAATTGCTGACAAAAACTGTAATATCATTGTTCACTTCATACTGGCTGTTTTTGTCATCTACATCATTATTCTTCGTCGTCTCATAACCAGGCGGTGGTGCGATTTTTGATTTCGATTCCTCCCGAGTTTTGTCGTTTGTTCCTTTATCATCAAAATTCAAGCGGCTTTCTCGTAATTTAGGTTTCGTTCGCGCATTATTTTTTACGATTTTTGATGGAGAAGCTCCTACAGTTTGCCACTTGCCGATATTATTCGCCTTTCTCTTGCTCGCTTTTTTGTTTTGCATAGACGATTCATCTTGAAAAAGAACTTGTGCTTTCTGTCTTTGTTCCTTAAGTTTATCAAGCTTCTCCTTTGTTTTTGCCTCACAGAGTTCCATTTGCTCTAAAGTTCCTTCATCACGTTCAAAATCTATCCATGCATTTATTATACTTTCCGGCCAATCTTTTGCGGAAGTCAAAGCTTTCTGATATAGCTTCCTTAAATGTTTTGTATCTCCGTAGCACCTGCAAATCAATCAAAAAATTGTAAGAATTACAAATAGGAATAATTACCAAATAGAAAAATTAGCATTTTTTACAAATAAGCATAATTACTTTTCTAGCGATATATATTCCAACCAATAAGAAACCGTCGCAGAATGCCCTTGTGAAAGAATGTCGGCCCATAACGTCCTAGCTTTCTCCATGTTATTTGCATGTATCGCTTCAGTTCTTGCCCAATATTGCAAGATAACGCAGTTGGGATCTCCATCCAAGCCAAAATACTTTGCCAGGTGCTCACATGCTCTGTTGAACGTATTACGAATAACATCTAGATGTTTCTCTTTCTCTTCATCGGAACATCGTTCGATTCTGCGCCGCAAATATTCGAGATATGTAATCCACAGATTTCGATAATCTTCTGCCATCGAGAAGCCATTTGATAAGGCATTTTCTAATAACTTTTGCACTTCCAATATAGGTCTTTCCCATTTTTCGTAAAATCTTATCCATTTTTGCCAAACTTTTGGGCACCACGGAATGTTCCTTGATGCTCTCTGATAAACTTGGTCTAATACAGATTCAATCTTTATTGTATCTTCAAGATAGATAAGATAGTCCAACCAGATTGACTCTTCTAAGCTCAGATCGGTTACTGCCCTTTCATACAGAACTGTAATACGTCCTGGATCATGCTGTTGTTTTTCATAAAGTAAATATCCCTTGTAAGCATCAAGCAGTTCGCTTTCCCCTTGTGTAGAGTTGAGTTTTTCTTCATAAGGAATAAGCAAGTTCAACTTTGTAGAAGCCTGCTCATATCCTCTTAACACAATTTTGTCATCAATAACAGCTTCTGTATCATCTTCTGTGCGCCAGGATTGATATTCCTCATAAGTTTTTTTCATATCTAAAAGAGGACACGCTAATTGACGTCGGAATAAATTGCCAATACGTCCCAACTGTTGCTTCTTTTCTGCCACATTTGCAGTATCGATCTAAAATAAATATAAATTTAAGAATAATTATTTAAAAAAGAAATGAAGAAAGATAGCGTTTAATAGAGAATTTATTAAGCCTCTGTACATATAAGCTACTACATTTACTTACCAGCGTGAGTAAAACAGTTTCGAATTCTCGAAACGCTTCCCATATTATTGCCCCTTTAATGGTATGCAATCCAACAACAGTCAGTGCTCGTTCAAAAAGCTCGCGAACATTTTCAGCTGCATCCTTCTCTGTTCCCATATTTCCAATACTAAAATGCAGGTATTCCAGCCATACTTCTACAGCTAAAAGTATACATTGCAATGTTACAATCTCCTATGATACTTATACGTAGAAAAATAGAATAGAACAATTTTGAATTTATGAAACTCGGTGCAATAAAATAAAGACTTACAAGTATAATCTTTAACAGCTCGTTCGCATAGTTTTACTATTTCAGCCTTTTGCTCCGGTGTGACTGCCAGCTTGATCTCGTCCCGTATACAGGAGAGCCAAAGTTCTGGACTCAACGGATACATGTTGCTCATATTGTCCCGGGCAGTTCGCAGACGATCTAGCTCGCCCATTTTGTGCAACTTGTTGATCAGAGCTACGTGAGTGGCGTAATCGTATGGATTTTCTGTTAAGAAAGCTTGCAGGGACTTTACTTCTGCTTCATCGATGGCCTCGTCATTGTCGTCGTCGTCGTCGTCGTTGTCAGATCCGCTATCATCGATTTTATCGTCGGCTTCTTCCTCCATTTCGTCCCTCATCTCTTCCTCGATCTCGTCCGCGGCTTCTTCTCGATAAGCTTTTGCGTGATCCTCCTCGTTCGCGACATCCATCTCCTCCTCCATTCTTCTTGAGATTGATAATTACTGTCGCCGAGGAACTACGTATAAAATTGTTCTGTTGTTATTGAATTGCAAGATCACGATAGACGTTGAAGGTTATGTTTATGTATTCTCTTTCGCAGTGTCGTCGAGATGCTGAAAACATACGTTGCGCATCTAACGATTGCGCAGGTATATGACCATGTAATCAGCTCCATTTTCATAATTCGAAGTTTTTAATATATATTGACATAATATATTGATCGTATTTGCATGCTAATTTACTCACTTATGTAATAACACCTCAGAACTGTAGCTACATGAATTAAAAACAATATTTCCTTTGAGAGATTAGAGTTGGAGTTTGAAGCTTTCGAATAAAATTGATAGCGTGATCAATATACAATAAAATGTAATGAATTCGTGGAAGATTTATTCACAATATATTACAATATATATATACTCATTTTGCACAACAAATTATGATATTATATGATGCGTTCCGAATCATTAAACTTCTTTATTTTAATTTTTTTTAAATTCTTTTTTTTTAATTCAAATACATTTATGTCAAAATCTTAGGCACATTAAATTTTATATTAAAGTTCAATGATAAAATCATTTTCAAATTGCCTAAAAAAAGAGAAAGAGAATTAATTTTTATTATTTATTTTACAAAAAGCTCTTTATTTTTTTTTACTTGTAACTAAAAAATTACTGATTCTTTTGATATTTCTGTAAAGGACAAACTAAAAAAATTTAAAAAATGATCAAAGAATTTGATCTTATACAGTTAAATGTATGATTGGAATTGAAATATTGGGTATTTCCTATACGATTAGTATCGTTTAATTTCCGATGTATATCTCGTGTCGCGTTGATTAGTTGTCGTTTGAAGACAATTGCATCATTAAATCATTTCTATTCTCGTATCTTCTATAATATTGTAAAAATATACATCTTAGTGTGAAATTAAAATGATTGAACACATACGCGATAAAAAGGTGAGAAATCTCTGGTGATTACTTATGATTGTATCTTGCGTATAATTTTCCAGAACCAGCAGCAAGCAAAAGCAAACGTAAAAAATATCAATCAAATTATCCAAGACGTGTCCCAACTGTTGCAAAACATACGTGAAAATTGCTTATAAATACACGTTAAAAGGAATAAAAAGTGAGTATATAATTCAGAATTTAATATATACGAATTTATTTATTGATATTACATATGCTTATTTTATTTTAAATACAGCACGCGTAGGAAAAAATTATATTAGAAAGATCAGATTGTTTTCCGGTAAATATTTCAAAAGCCGAAGATATTTTTAATGTTTTTTTTATATTTTACAGTTGCTATCTAAAACTAGTAGAAGTTTATTAAGATAGCATTGCGAATCAATGTTAAACATCAATTAAAAATCATTAACGTTAAGAGGCATTTGGAGATATAATTCAGTGAGTTATGTGTGTGTGTGTGTGTGTGTGAAGTAAATAATAAAATATTTCAAAGAAAGACCGATATGTCCATCAGTATATAACTATAATTTAATTTATTATCGTCCGAAAATTAAAAGAATATAACAAAATTGTCCTTCTTTTCTTTTAATATTTTTTGTGAAAATTAAATATAAAGTATGATTTAGGTATAAACTTTTTGATAATTTTTTTTTTGGTGAAACTAAATCATTACGTGTCAAGAAAAGCTCTAATTTGCTTGCCTATATAAATAGAATGTAGATTTTTTTATCTGCCAATTAAGCTATTTCCAACCGGCATTAATTAAGCAAGTATAACGTTTCTCAATTAAGAGAAAACTGACTGAATTCTTTATAGAATTCCTGAAAATTTCCGAGGCAATGAGTGAAATCTTTTAAGTGCACGTAAATTGTACATTTCGTAAAAACTTCCAGGAATATTTAATTTTAAATGACGTCATATTGCAACATTGCGGTACGAAATATACAATTAATGACGTCGCAAAACGTGAATAGAATATAATCAGGTACTAATGATATATTCAAGATAATCCATATTTAAAATTGTATATATAGAAATATATATTTTAACTTTCTTACGACAAGTATCCGGGCGATGAATCGTATTTCGATATTTTTTTTATTTTTGTTTATTATTTTTTCGCGATATATTTTTATCGCGTAATGTACATATTTCGATAATATTGATCATTCATTTCTCATCATGACTCACTGAATTTGACCAACATCCGGATTCCTCTTCACCGCTTCTTGTTCACCCATCGAGCTACTCGAAAGTCTTGTCTTTTTTTTTTTACGTTGCAAATGAATCTAAGAGATAATAGATGACAGTTCAGTAAATATACCAGAATGTTTCCTATTTGGCACGAAAAACGTTCAAACATAGTATTTTTCCATTTCCTTCTTTTATTTTCTTTCCCGAAAGACATTTTAGAGTAATATTCTCTCAATTTTTCTGGAAATAATAAACAAGCATTCGTAAGAAATGCGTGTTCGAGAAATAAACTTAAAAAAAATATCATTAAAAAGATGTATGGGAGAACAGATGAGCGAAAAAAAAAAAGAAGAGATTTAATTGCACGGCAATGATTTTTCGATTTTAAGCTTACGTAAAAGGATACATTTCATTGAAGTAATAACTCTTCGACTTCGCTTTGATAATAGCTAAAGCTACAAACTAATAATAAGTCTATGATTTATCGGGCGTACGTCCGCGTATTCCCCGGCCTTCCTGCCTCCATTGCAATCTTGTCCAGGAGGAGAGAATGCTACATTTACTTATTATTTTCCTCGTTGCGTTCATCGGCCTAGGGTTTCCCGTATCGCAAGGAAGAACCGAATGACGACCCGACTCACGGTCGCCTCGATGCGAGATGCCCCACTACCGCAACCACCACAGAATGTATCTTTGGCGCGGAAACTATAAGCGTGTGTTAAGGCATTTCAGTGGAGAACTGGTCAGTTGGTATCTCGACAAAGGTTCGGCAAAGATCGCCGGATCGAAGCTGCGAGAATTAATGCGCCAGAGTTGCTCATCGACCTGTTGAAAAAATCGGACAATTAATATCGCTTCCAAATATAAAGCAGATAACAGTGCTCGCAATATATATGATATATTAGCAATCAATGTATGTAGAAGATGTAGTATACAACATTCTAAAATAAAAAAACGCAGGAAATAAACAAAACCGTGCGATATTAAGAGTAATAAAGTGAAAACGGACATTTATTCGCGGAAATCACATCGATCTTCACCTGAATTTCAAGTCCGTTAATTAATGAAGCGGCGCATGAACGCGACCTGTTATCACCGGTTCGACTGCTGAATGACCAAGTAAGGTGAATATACACAGTTCGCGGAATATGACAGGAAAATACTTTTTTCTTTTGAACGTTGCCGATTGAAAACGTGACTAGCGTTAAAAAGATTCCGGAACATGTGCGAGGATGTCAGAATTTGCATAAATTTTCGTAAATCATATATGTTTATCTGAAGCAGATATTTTTTTAACTTGACGTTTAATGCACTCTTCGATAAAAATTGATGCTGAATTTGTGACAAAATAAATCGCGCTATTAAAATTCTAATTTTTCTTATCTTCTTAGTTTTAGCTTCGCATTTTGGCTTCGTATATTAAATGTTATCGTAAGTCTGCAAGCTGTCTTACTCGTCATAATTCTTCATACTCCTTTCTCTTCTCTCTCTTTCTCTCATTCATCTGTAATATAAACGATTTAAATCCGCTGTTTCACTTAAACTTCAATCTGCGCAGCAATTTTTTTCCCGAACAGTTTTTTATAAAAACATCCTTTGTGCTGATTTAACTGATTATTTAACGGAATGTTTATCCAATAAGATGATTAAAACAAATCAATTCCTACCAATTATAAAAAAAACAACGTAAATAAAATGCGATAAGAGCGAAATAATTATCTCACTTGATTTGTAGTGTGTGTATCAGATAGGCGTATTGAAGTATTTGATCTTTGAGAAGGGTTATCGAGCAAAAAGTACAGAATAATTCGTAGTATATGGTAGTACATATTTAACAATTCGAGTTTAACTGCATGTTTTATCATTTTTCCTGGTTTACTTGTGGTGAGTGGCGTAGTCATTTCGCATTACGTATCGATGAGATTGTACTCTCCAATCCGAATGACGAATAGATATACGGGTATTTATTATTTATTATGCAAATGTGTCAAAGACAGATTTTCTATTAAGTACTATTTTGAATAAGATGAAATAAGATTTAAGCTTTTTAGATTAATAGATTGAGAAACTCTTTTCTTGACAGGAAAACTAAGGATAATTATATTATTTTGATTAATCTTTCCACTACCAACGGGACACACATATTTTAGATGGGAAGATAAAATTGGTAGTGAAAGGTTTAAAAAAAATTACTTTAATATTAAAAACCATTCATAAAAATTACGTGCATCCATTTCGTTGTGTTTGCGGCAGAGCTTCACGATGGCCAAGATTCCTATTTTAATTGCGTTGCTGCCACAGCTACTTTGCACGTTGCTAGAAGTATCCGGACAACAATCTCCATGTTCTCAATACTTCACGTATATAATCGATCCTGCGACGAACGAAATGATGGGTCAGATCCAAATCCCAACTCCGCCAAAGAACGTCGAACTTCATTTGAAAGTGGCGTTAAGCATCGCCGTTGCGCTGTCTACGGTAAAAGCACATTTTCTATTATCAATAATTCGGAAAAAAAACATAGTGTCATTTTCGTCGATGTATAAGCCATCTTTAGTAATTTCCAGCATGCCAAATTTATCTGATCAGAAACAAAATCTGTTCTCTGAAACAAAATTTGATTAGTCGAATGCGTATATTTTTCTTGCACAACTAAAAAATATAAATTTTTGTTTTGATTATATCGTTTTCATCATATCATTAAAGTAGCTCAAATATCGCTACGTTTCAGAACTACGTCGGTCAATTGGAATTGGCGCAATCGAAAGAGGAGTCCGTTCGGATAGTCCAACAGGGTAGACCTTTATTGTACCATATTCATTTTCCCTTACGTCAACCGAATCCGTTACTGACCGGAATATGGTTTAACAATCAACAATATTGTTCAGGCCCTCGTGGTGAGTATCATACTATTTTGAGAGACAATATCAATGCCATACACATATTCGAGACTACAGTTGCAAGATTTACAATTCTCCAATTTTTTCAACGTCAAATTTGAAGCGCGATCTTGTTTTATATTTTGTTGCCCATAATTCAAGCGAGTAAATGCAAAGCTAAATAAAGCTAAATAAAGTTCATTAAAGAAAATATTTCTATCTTTACTTAAAAAAACCTTAGAATTAACTTGTATTCTTGGAAAATTATTTTTTTCTAGAAAGAGAATAAATTTTGTTTCAACGGATTGTGTGATTTGTGTTTCGTTTCAGCAACGGGACACATCGTGACTTCCATCATGCTGGAGCACACTCTGTACCCGCCAAATGTGTTGCCGCTTTCGCAGAGTTCCGATCCTAATGGTTCACCGCAGCAGAATCCGCCGGCACCCCTGCCAGTTTATACGACGTCACGTCCACCGAATCGACCCGTTATCATTCAACGTCCGACCACTGTCACCCTCTCCGACGGAATCAGCAACAATCCCTTCCTAAATCCACCCGTTCAACAAAACAATAACAATGAATGTGGTATCAGCACTCACACCAACAACATTAATTTGTTAATCTCCAAGGGAATGAAGACGTCACCCGGTCAGTGGCCGTGGCTGGCAGCGCTCTTCATCGTCAAACTCAAGTTCGAGTTTCAATGCGCCGGTTCTATTCTGACCAACAAACACGTTATAACAGGTGCGTTTTAAGAAATTAAAGAGAGAAAATAAAGAATACATGTACAAGGAGATACCTGCGAGGGGTATTATTAATCTGTTCGAATTATTCGTTCATTAAAGATTCACAAAAGACGGAAAATTCAGATCCTCAATTTCTCAGAAATTCAGTCTTCTTCTCGTACGTTGTTGTTGGAAAATACTTTATTCGCGTGTGTTTTTTTGTTTATAGCGGCGCACTGCTTCAAGCTGGACGCCCAGACCAATATCCCCCCCAGTGCGATGTTGGTATCCTTGGGGCGATATCAATTGCGCGATTGGCATCAAGCGGGATCCGTGAATATGGAGATTGCGAGCTACACGCTCCATCCCGACTACATTCATCAAGAGACCGGTGACTCCGATCTGGCGATTCTAACTCTGAGGACCCCCGTTGAGTTCAGCCCTACGATCAAGCCTATCTGTTTGTGGTATGGCTCAACCGATCTCCAGAGCGCCATCAATAAGATAGGATACGTCGTAGGATGGGGCAGGGACGAGTTCGGCAATCCTTATGTCGCGGAACCGCGAATGGCGAAGGTGCCGATAGTAAGTCAGGTAAGAATGTCTTCCATTCGGTGATTTTGATCATTTTTATGTCATATTCTTACAATCCGATTTATCTTAAATAGAAGAAAGAAATATTTCCAAGATGACGTATTGTCAAGATTTGATGTGGGATTAAATCGTTACTAAATAAAAAATTTCAAAATTTCTTGCGGCTCGCGCGCGTCGATGCTTAATATTGCGATTCGTTATATGTATATCCATAACGGATGGATTTGTCAGAATTATTATATGCTTTGAATTGGAGTGACGAATACGGTATCGGTTTAAACGCAATAAAACGTAGTCGCTAATCGCGATCAAGGCGTACGTGTACAAATTTTCATAAACTCTTGAGAAACTAAATATCTATACACATATATTGAGAAAATCATCGAATTGATAGATTTTATAAATTATCGTTGCAGAATAAAATTTTGTAGATAATAAAATTAAAAACTCCTAATCTAATTATTGCACAAATTATAGGAGGTATGTCTTTGGAGCGACTCGCGTTTCGTCAGCTTTACCTCGAATCGCACTTTTTGCGCCGGTTCGCGAGACGGCAGCGGTCCTTGCAACGGTGACAGCGGAAGCGGACTGGTGCTTCATGACGCTGCCACGGGCCGTTATCAGCTGCGCGGCATCGTTTCACGTTCGCTGTACGATCGCGACGAGATGACCTGCGATCTCACGCAGTACGTTGTCTTCGTCGATGTGGCCAAATACTTGTTCTGGATTCAACAACAGATCTCCACTACTTAATATACTCTCGTAGTCTTATTGCAGATATATATATAAAATGTACTAGTCGACAAGTTTTTCTACGTAAGTTTATATAAAGCTAGAAAAAAGATAACGTAAGGATTAGTATAATTTGACAATCTAAAATATTTGTTTTATACTTCTATATTAATCTTTCTTATCACATGCATTTATCGTGATATTAAAACAATATATATATAGTATGTGTGTGCTCGTGTTTCTTTTTCTTCTTTTTTTTCGCGATAATTCTCCGACACCAGCAGCACCGCAATTATCATCACGCTTTAGGCGCGTCGCTCACATAGGTAAAAAGAGATTGATATATATATATGTGTGTGTGTGTGTGCGTGCGTGCGTGCGTGCGTGCGTGCGTGCGCGCGCGCGCGCGCGTATATAAAAATAAATGTGATTATCAAATAACTGATCTTTTAATAGAAAATACATTAAGACTACATCATATCATATGACAGGTGTTATAGTATACTTATAAATGCTTATTTCATTTTCTGCCATATATTATATCGTATACTTTTCTATCAAACGATTCATAAATATCTATTATGAAGTACAAAAATATCACCGAGGATTCATGTAAAATTAAATATAATTTATAGAGCACAATACTCTTTCATATAAGTTACATCTTTAAAATGTTTAAATATGTATAAAAAAATATTGTTTAAGAATTTAGATATATAATATTATTTAAATCTATAAGATTGAAATTTATAAACTATAAATATGAATATATGTTCATAATTTTTCTATGTAACATACACAAAGGATTATATACTATATATTTTATAAAGTCTAGAAAGATACTTAAGAATTTCATTTATATAAATATATTTTAATAAAAGTTATATTTTTGTGAACATTTTTTTATATCCGATTATTTCTTTAGAATCTTAGAGAATAAGTCATGATTAGACAAGAGAAATGGATAAAAGAAAAAAATATTAGGATTGTATAGAGTTCGATCGCGAGAGTAATTCATAATGAATCTTGGTTCAGAGCTTGTCCGTAATCACGAATTTTATATGGTTCTCGATCGCGAGAGTTCAATTCACACTATCGCGCGTTTGCATGCTTTAATAAAAGTTATTTACGATCGTGCACGCGCACATATGTTGAACTAAAACTTTTTATATACCTTGAATTGGACACCACTCGACAGTACGATTGAATCAGCTCGATACGGAAAATGTGGCTCCATTGCGGCATATTGATCCATATATTTGGATTTCTCCTCGCAAAATCGTCCAGGTCGTTCGACGATGCCGTGGAATATTCCTCGTTCCTGGATAGAAAATTAACGTTAAAATTAAAAACAGCGACGCGGTTAAAGCACAATCTCGGAAAGGTCCTTCACGAATTGCCGGTAAGCAATCTTGCCTTCTGAGAAGTAGGAGAGCATAAGTTCAAGTAATTCAAACTCGTGCGCTTTCGAAATAAATTAATTCAACATATATGAACAAATTTGATCAAATCGAAACTTGCGCATGATAATAAATAATTGCATAACTTACTAGAACTTATACAAGATGTATTCTCCTATTCATTTCTCATAGAGACAAAGTTATGAGCTATACCACTCCGTAAAGACTATCGAGGATTACTTGAAGAACGGGGGTTCGCTGATCGAATGTCTCGATGTCTTACCTTCCGTAATGTACGCGCCTATCGCGGAGCAGATAGACGTTATTCTCGAATCCATGGAAAATCATTTGCCCAAGTACGTCCTGCCAGCGATATCTCTCATCAGGCGATCCTTGTCGCAAGGCATTTTAGACGCTGACGAAATCTACAGACCGACTTTTGGACCACTGAAGGCCGATCCGTTGGAAAGGATCCCTCTGACAGAGCTGAAGAAAGCGGCCTCGCCTTTGATCTACCGCAAACAGATCAAGGCTCTCATGGGACCCTGGCCGAAAATAATCGGCGAGACAGCATCGTTGATTAACGACAAGATCATCCCTCCGCGTCGCGAATTGATTGCTTATGTGTTGGCGAATCTGAAGATACCCGACACGACGGTGGAGATGAGAGAATCGGTCGCATATCTCGTTGAACACTTACGATTGCATGGCGAGCGCGAATTGACCGGCTTCAGTTTATCATCCGATCCATACACATTGGTCGCCAATGCTATCTCGAGTCTATCTTTGCAGAACGAGACTCTGATTGGCGTAAATACATTGTTGCCGTTTTTGAAGAAACCCGCGGAATGTCGGAAATCTGCGGAATTTACCAGCTTCTTTCAGAATAATACCTTGAACTATACACTTCTGATATTGAGGGATAGGATGATATCCAGATCAAAAGCCGGTACCATGCTCTTATCCATGATGAAAAATAACTCTGATGTATGGAACACCGTCGAGCGACTTTCGCCCTTTGAATACGCATCTTGGAGAGACTTGCTGTTAGCTTTCGTCAGCCAACTCAGGCGTCGGCAAGCTCATCAGGATAGAATATCGGACATTGTGGACAGTGTCTACGGCGAGCTGATTCTGAGAAATACTCGAAAGCATTGGCAACTCCTGAGGAATTCTATTATCGCTACACCAGTCCTCACTGCTATAGCCAGAAGAGAGAGTTCCTCTAGGATCCGAAGACTCCTGATGGAAGTGGCTTCAGATAGAAGTATCAAGACGGAAGTCTGGCAAAAGGCTCTCGCTTTTGCTTCTTCAGAAGATATTGGCGGACCAATGGATGCCGTTTTGAAGACACTGAAGGCTTTGTTAGCTTCGGGACTTCTTGACCAGACTGCCCTATTGATAAATATTGCCGAGTTAGTGACTATGTACGATAACAGAATTAATCAAGGGCAAGCTGAGTGCGTCAATCGATTGGAAACCTACTTGGCTAATGTTACTCAAGTAGGAACTGGAATGGGCAAAAAGATGGTGATCGAGAATGTTGATATCGAAGATCTTCTTCAGGCTCTGCCTGATTTGGACGTATATACGGATGAGTATAGAAGCTTGAAAAGTTTTTTGTCTCAAAAAGATTTGGAAGCAAAAATAGGGCAAGTTGATGTAAACGCACATCCCACCAGGGGTAGATTACTAGCACAGTTACTGCAAATGACAGAACTTGCCGGTAGTATCGATGATAATCTACGTCATTTGGCCAAACAGTTCGTCGACAATGTGGCTTATGAGGGCTACGGCGCTGGTGCTTTGCTGTACCATTCCAGTTAGATTGAGAATGAGTACGTTTTCCTACGATTCTTGTTTGAATAAATCTTATTTGATGATCCCTAAATATTTCACACAAGGACCGAAGGAAACATTTATCAAAATACATAATGAGCCAATTGTATTATGTCAAACTAATGGATATCAAAATTAATAAATCCTTTACATACACTTTAAACTACACATCACTATCGTTAAGCTTGCTGTTAGCTTATGTCAAACTAATGGATATCAAAATTAATAAATCCTTTACATACACTTTAAACTACACGTTAAGCTTGCTGTTAGTTTAATTCTCTTTTCTCGATTAAGTTAAGCGAAAATTTTTGCAGCATACATCACTATAAAATTAATTTCCTTAATTCCTAAAATTGTTCGAAATTGGTCTCACTTAGAAATACATTATCAACTTTTGTATTCAGCGTAACAATGAAAAAATCTTATATTTTTTTTTTTGTTGTCTTTAGAATTATAAGAAAAGATCTGCTAACAAACTTTAATGTCGTATCAATTATTATGATTATTATATATAAAATACAATAAATGTGATCCATGAAAAAAAAAATGTTAATATGTCACAAAAATTTCAAGTAATGAGATAAATAAATTGTTGAACAAAGAGAAATGTGTTACATGTTAAATTTATCATATATATATAGATAATACAAACCACAATCGAATAGATAGGTGTACACATATAAAAATAATTTCTTTTTGTATCATAAAATTACGTTCTTTATTGTCCCATTGCTGAAGGTAAGCAAAGATTTTTGTCTTGAAAATAACTCACTAAGAACTTGGTAGGCCCATAATAGGGATAAAAATACGGTAATGTGTAACTTGCATATCTTAAACTTGACTTGCGTCAGATTGGAAGTATTGTCGTGCAATTGCGCCCAATACAATTTCTGCACTATACACACCTGTAAATTTTTCAAATAGAAAAACATAGTTATTAAAGTTGTAGTTATATGATTTTTATTGCACTTAATATTCGCATTACTTAATTTTCAAGTCTTTCTTATACAAAGAGAGTAAGATTATAAAATATTAATTAAAAGCTGTGATTTGAAATTACTTACTGATATTTGCACGTAAGACATCAGAAAGCAGATGAAGGTCATTTTCATGAGTTATAATGATATAATTTAATTTCCCGGCATTCATTTCTTGTATCTGCGCAACTGTTCTACGCGTCTTTTCCATTGTACCTCCTGCACTTTCTATTATTTCCGCCATCGCTGAAGGAGATGGTATCACACTTGGTGTGACGAAAAATATCTTACCCTGTTTGAATGTGAGCATAGTAGAAACGAGTTAAAAATGTAATAATGAATTAATTAGATAAATTGAAAATAATGTTACATTTTTATTTGTTTTCATGTTTAAATATGAAATATACCTATATTATTGTATTAAAAATCGCGTGATTATGAATCACTCTCTCTATATATTATGATCAAAGAATTTAATTTAATTACCTTAAGTACTGTTCCTCGATTAGGACTCGCTAAAGCTTTCTCGATATTGCAATTAAAGTTCTTTTCAAATTCTGCATCGCCGAGCATATATGCGCTTTCATCTACGAAAGTGTTTTTTGCGGAACAATCGAGCAACCATTGCAAACTGACGATAAATTTACATCGCGATAGACAACACAATAATTTCACCGTTCGTAATGGTGCCGACATTATCAGATGAGTGGCGTCTCGCCAACTAGCAGCCAAAGCACCTCCCAATTCTCGAATTCTCTGAAAATCATATAGATTACATGTGTAACAGATGGTAGCATAAAGATAAGAGATGTGTAATATATGGATAAGAGAACTAGAAGTATAGAATGGAGAAATACAAAGGATGAAGAAGCAAAAACAAGAGATCAAAAAATAATTGTAAAGAAAACAGTCTTTATATGTATTCCAAATAAACAGTCTATCTATATGATACCTTGGCATGTTTCCTGGGATTTATACCAGAAAATAATATTCTGGGTTGTTTATCAGGTGGCGGAGGATCAGGGTTGCTAACAACAATCGGTTCATCCAAACCCAGAAGATGCGGGTCTTTATTCAACAATGGACCATCCAATCGCGGTTTTTTGTATTTTCTGATCGAATTTGGACCCTGACCAACCTGTTTTACTTTGTCATACGATTCTTGAGTAATGTTTATTGGCATTTTCCAAGCAGCTACAAAAGACAAAGAATTATGTAGAAAATGATTTGACAGAGCTTTGTATATAACGATAAAATCATTTGAAGTATAATTATTTAATGATAATCTATTTAGTAACTAAAATATATTATACCCATAAGATGAGGCACAAGTGAATAATCTAGTTTGAAAGGATTACTCAGATTAAATTGTTGATACTTTGAACCCTCGAGTTGATGCAAAGCATTCATTTGTCCACAAAGCAAATCTGTCAACCACTGTGCATTTACAATGTTAGTTGGCCACTCGCGTGCCTTTTTATATTTCTGTCCATCTGGCCTAAAATTCATTTTGACATATACTTATGTTGTAATACAACATGAACAATCACAATATAAAGAATACATTTAAAATATAGCTAAAACAGCCCCAAAGAATGACATGTGATAACAACCCAGTACCTTCTGCAAACGAGGAGAGTATTATGTTTGGAAAAGTAGTTCGTGTATTTGGCTCCCAAAGCCTCTAACATATGTTTGACTTTCGCTCGGTCCTCTCCCTCAAATCCGGAAAACGATACGATTTGCTTAACACATGGAAGCTCAGTTAAGCTGAACGGCGTTGGAAAGTGCAAAGCATGCCAAGGTGGTAACAATTGTTGCTTATTGACAACGTCAGAAAGCCAATGCGCACTGACGCAACGTTTTCCTTCACGTAACGCTTGCACCACGATAGGATGTTTCTGCGTGATAGCCAGTACATGTGTCGCACGAGTACAATATTGTGGCTCTACCTCGCCACCATGTCTCTCGATAACTTGTTTCCAGACTGAGACTTCGTTTGGACGCTGTACATCATATTCGACAATAACAAAAATACATCCTAACAAAAATAGATCTGGCGGCACTGAAATTACAAATATTCTTCCATAATTATTAGCGATATAATACTAAATATAAATAAAATAATATTTCAAAGCGTTATACTACTTTTTATAGAATTATATAGAAATTTGCTTCTTTGTTAGATAATGTTATAATAATAATAATAATAATATGGAAGTTAGATACATACGTTTCAAGTTTGGATTGTGACCATAAAATTGAGTCTTAGGCTGCGGCATAACTGGAGGATATTGCATCTTTATTGGTGCCCCTGACGGCGCACCGTTCGTTATATTTCCTAAAGTTCTTCTTTGATATGCGGCCAAGAGCTGTGGATCCTGCGAAGGAGGAGGTGGAGGTCTATGCTGCGCGGTCATTAATCTCAATTGACCAGCCGCACTACCCTCGGTAGCGCCGCCTTGCAATCTGTTGGTTAGCATATTAGCCAGCGCGGTTTTCGTTTTGGCGTTCACGACAAGTTGTTGATCTGGTGGAATATGCGCATTATTTGACAGAGACGCTAACGGCGCCTCCTGCTGCGCGCCTTGCTGCTGCTGCTGCTGTTGTTGTTGGAGATGCTGCAGCTGTTGCAATCTAGCCATTTGCTGCTGCTTCTGCATCTGTAACTGCACCAATTGCTGAGGTGTCAATTGTCCCTGTTGAAATGTCTGTCCCGTCTGTGACACTTGCGGTCCTTGAACAGCCTGTCCAGTCGGTACGATGACCTGATTGGAAGAATTTATCGGGGTTAACGCTGGTGGTTGCACCCCGGAATGCACGGGTTTCTGTCCAGGAGTTGGTGTGAGTTGCGGTCCCATCATTTGAGGTTGTACTTGCGGAATCCATTGTAAATTGGTCGATTGCACTGGTTTACCAGGGTTCCTAATAACAGCAATGTGCGGACCTTGCTGACGATTATGCATCTGTCTCTGCAATAAAAGATTTCGCTGCTTCTGAAGCTTCTGAATAAACTGGGCTCTCTGTTGAGTGTCCATCTGTTGCAATTGCAGATGCGTCTGCTTATCCAATTGAATTAAATGTCTGGGAAGTTGGTTCCATTGTGCTTCGGATCTCAGAGGCCCAATCTGCTGTTGTCTCTGCAACTGTAACTGGTACTGTTGTTGTTGCCATTGCGAGTCTCGTTTCACGATAAATCCTTGCTGATTTGGTCCAATTAACTGTTGATTCTGCGACTGTTGTTGTAATTGGCCGTCCCTTATGACAAATTGCGAACTTTGCGGGGCGGATTGTTGCAGTTGCTGCGAAATTTGTTGTATTTTTTGCTGTTGCTGCTGCTGTTGTAATAAAATAAGTTGTCTTTGCTCGGCGGCGAGTTGCTGTGATGGAGCTTGTTGTTGGGCCAATTGATGCTGAGTCGCGATCTGTTGTGGTTGAGAAGGTAATTGCTGTTGCTGCTGTTGCATTACTATTTGTTGCTGCTGCTGTTGTGTTGCCAATTGCACTTGTTGTTGCGGCATCAAATGTGGCTGTTGTGTTGGCAACTGCTGCTGCTGATTTATCTGTTGTTGTTGGATGATCTGGTGTTGATTCAATTGCTTTTGTTGTGATGTTACTAGTTGCTGTGCAGTTAATTGATGTTGAGGTAATTGCGAATTTATTTGCTGCTGCTGCTGCTGTTGCGGTATCAATGATGGTTGTTGTCCTATTAGCTGCTGTTGCTGTTGTACCTGAGATGATAGTTGTTGATTTAGAATTTGTGGTTGGTTATACGGTGGCTGTTGCAACTGCTGTTGATGCTGTGTGAGTTGTTGCGTTAATGGCTGCTGTGATGTTAATGGTTGCTGCTGCATCAATTGATGTTGCATATTCATTTGTTGTTGAGATAATTCTTGTTGTTGCATTTGTGATGGCATAGCTTTTTGTTGAGAAGCATTGCTTTGCTGAGAAGGCTGTGGAAGCCAATTTGCTTGATTAATATTAACATTCTGATCGGAAACTGATGGAACGTTTGCGGATGTTCCCAAGCTAGATGAGGGCACTGATCGTGGTAGCTGTTGCGTTTGCATATTCACAGTATTCTGTCCATTCGTCGAATAAGAAACAGTTGCTGTGTTGGTTGCACTAAGGCTATGCGTAGTACTCAATGACACGGGTGGACTTGGCTGATTCCACGGCATACGTTGTTTGAGTTGCTCTAACATGGCCTTAGTTCGATCCTGCTCCTCTTGCGCGACGCTATTATCAGTATCTTCATCCATAAATCCAGTGATCATAGCTGTCGAGCTATTTGGAGACATTAGCAATTTGGGATGATATTCCACTTCGCTAACGAGAGTGCTTTTCTTACAACATTCTGTCACCCAATCAGGTGTTACAATAGGTATATGATGTCTTGTGGCAGTTTCATATTTTATACCACTTGCTTTGCCTGTGATCAAATGAGTGCAATATCTATCCAAGTGTAGCTGACATTTGCCACCTTGCAATGTTATCATTGCCCAAAGCGACTTGCTGTCCGCTCGACTTATTTGGGATAGGCAAATGCGTACATTTGAGAATAATTGATTCTCTTCTGGTGAGAAATACTTTGCTCTGTGTACATGTATAAGTTGATTTGTTAAGAAAATATACATTTTTATTTAAAAAATGTCAAAAACAAAAATTGTTTACTTAATACTGTTTATAAATAGAATACAAAAATATTTAACAGAGATGGATATTAGAATTAACACAAAAGATAATTTTATATTTACAACTGCAAGTAATATTAATTTTAAAATAATAGTTTTGTGTAAAAGGATACGGCAGAAGTTTGTTGCATTTAACAGAACATAAAACCCAGTTTTGTGTGACTGCTGGAATTTCATATATATCCTTTGCTTGAGAAATATCATTTTCTAATGCTTCGTAGCCTGCTATCAAATGTGTAACAAAGTCGCTAAAATAAATGGATCTTTCAGCCCCACCTTCTTGCAGTAGATTCAAAATCTGTAAATAATTCATAGCATTGTTTATGATTGATGAATAATCATTGTCCTTTCTTAATATGAGCATATGTATTTAGGATATAAATGTATATTGTGTGTTTTCATACAATATTTCTTAATTTTAAACATTACACGAAATTGTTACAAAAAAAGGAAATTAGTTTAGCGAAAAGGAAGACGACATGTTGTGTCAAGTTATATGTACATACGCCTCATATTATAACCTCTATTAACAGTCAATATATTATCGATTTCAGACTAAAAAAATGAAAAAATCATTTTAATTGTCGGGAACATCGAATAATCACTGTGAATTTTTCGATTGTTCGATCCGTCCGATAAAAACGCGGGAAACTTATCGTACCTTGGAATCGCCCTCACCGCTGACGTAGTATTTGACGTTGGCAAACAGAGCACCGTCGAGCTTCAAGTCCTCGAGACCAGCCCGTATGTCGCCCATCTTGTCGAATCCCGTCCTGATGGAGACTCACGTTTTCGACATTACAGAAGCGCGCGAACCACGCGCGAGATCGTACGTGCTGTGATACAGAAAGATATATATGACTTCGCAATATTTGATAACAAGAGTTCCTTACGCGACGCTTTTGTTATTATTATGATTGTAGGTTATGTGCGCGAGCTTTGTGTGGCGCTACATCACTATTTAGGATGCGTTCGGAAATCCTACTCGTGGGATAAAGTAGCGTTTAATTGGCGAATCAGGAACAAAGGGAGCAAAGATTTCTTTGTCCTCATTGGTCAATTCAATGTTAGTATATTATAAAAGTAAGATTTTCGAATGCACTTTTGATCGGCGCGCCTTCCTACAATCACACGTGACTGATACCGCGAAATTTAAATTGTTGTACCGCATGACAGCACCGATGAAGTAACAGTACCTTATTATCGTTATTACGACAGCGTGTGAAATATATATATTTCATATACATACAATAAAAATTATGATAAATTAAATTTAAAAAAACAGCTATTAAAATATATTATCGTTTTAAAAAATGATAAAGGATGTAAGGATCACAACATTTGAAAACATTTGCTTTATTGTATGTTCCTTTCTTCCGCACATAAGTAGGTACATATCAGCATCTAAAATGCTTCTCCTCTCATAATCCAGCAAAATTCATTTTCTCATGTTAACTTTTATATTCGTATCTCCTATTTCTTTTTTCAGTAATCCTCATGCATTCGCTCTTTTTCTTTCACTCATAGATAAATAAATTATCGACTAAATATGTACAAGATTTTTTAAATAATTCTCTCTTTCCTTACCTTATATTTATAATAGTCATTTGTTGCTTAATAGTCGTATCTTGTAAAGACTCTAGAAATATTGAGCTTGGTCTGGTCAGTATACGTAATATATTCTCATTAAATTTTTTTTTCTCGCTTTAAATTATATTTATCTCTTTCTCTCTCTGTTTCTTTTCTAAAATTATTTATTCCTCCTCGCTTCGTACAACTGACTAATATCTCCGTTCGCTCGTGGTGCAGCTTTTCAAGAATATGATTGAATGAGTATCAGAGAAAAGAGATATCGCCAACAAAGTAGCAGAATGATACAAATATCTCCGATGGCGCGATATAATAATAGCGTAGAATAATGTGTACTGGTTGTTGGCGTTTAGCTAAAGTTTCGATTTTTGCCCCAGATAATTTTCAAATTTTTATTTAAGAAACTCCCTGTATTGCAACCTTGCTGTGTTGGTACATAGCTACTCTGAGGTACTCTTGTACATTCAATTACGATGTTTATATATAACTTGTGAATATGCCAAGTATAATATTTCCTCAGGCACACCTGTGAATATTTACAATATAATAAATAGAAATTTAAAATAAAAATCAAATAATTCGAAAATTAGCGATTATCAGCGATAAAATTATATATTATACAAAAAATAATAAAAAAATAAAAAAGTACAAAACAGAATAAAAAATGTCTTACTTTCATACGCGAGAGAATATCAGCGTCGTATAGAAAAAATTCTGTAAGTTTGCTGATTCTTTAAAGTACACAAATCGCCTCTCGTACAGATACTGGAAAAACTAAATTAAAAAGATAAAAAGCAAAAAAGAAAATATTAACGACGCTTTGCTAATCAGACTACATCATAGTTTCACTGCAACTAGTCATATTATCGAGATCTAATTGTGAGGACGAGCGATGAGTGTGTTCGCAAAAAGCTGCACTACCGCCGGACCCAGTAAGCGGGTTGCACCATCCATCGGAGCGTATTGTGTTCGTGAGGTAACACAGTATTTCTAGAATCTCATTAATGCGCTAGGAACCCGGGCTAGCATTATCGCCGCTTCTTCTCCTCGCCCCGAGCTGCTTAGCCAGTAGGGCGACCTCCCAATTGTTATAGCCATCCTGTCGCGTGATTTTGTCATCGTCGTCATCCTCGTCGTTTTCTTCTTCCTCTCCCTCCTCGTCCTCTTCGTCGCCCTCGTCACTATCGCCCTTGCGACGCACGCAAACGTCGAACTCCTCGTCCGATCTACTGTCGCTGTTCGATTCCAGATCGATGGCCACGTCCTCCCGCGATAATCTTTGCGGCACTATCGAATTTGGCAGCTCCTGCAGTTCCAGGGTCTCTCTTTCCGAATGTTCTTCCCATGATCGCCTGCTGCGTGAGCTTGAACCCACCGATGAGCGTCGATCGCGTAATCGTGCGGTCAGGACAGTGTCCACGGAACTGTCACGCATAAAGGGATGATCGTCGCAATCATCGTCAAGATCCTCTTCCATGGAAGCGTCGTGCTCAGTGCTGTCCCCGCCGGAATCATTGTCGTCGTGCGATTTCCTTCTCTTTCGCTCGAGTTGCTGGATTCGTGCCTGCAACTGCGATATTATCTCGTCGCGTTTGCGGACCTCTGACTCGAGCGATGTGAACTGTCGCACGAATTTACTCTGCATATCCTCCTGTAACGTCAAAGGCGGCAGTATGATTAATTGGAACAGCTGCCATGTGTCATACGGTAATGAGAACTCCTACAAGCGTAGTTAGGTAATTGATGGATGGTCAACATCCGGCGGTGGTGAATAGATTGAGTTTAATAGTTTGGAAAACATGCATCAATGAGTGGTGGATTTAAATTTACATGACTTTAAACTAAGAATGAGAGATTCTACATTTCTTCACAAAGAATAATAATAAATATAAGAGACATTATATAAAATTAAAGAAATTAATTATTTATCGATAAAATATCTCTTGAACTATGTTTTCTCTATTAGAATGATTTTACTTGTACTGTCGATAAATATTGATTTTGCAAACATCGAGATGAGATATCTCTCATGCTGAGGAGAGCGACTCTTTAATAAGAGCACTCCTGCGGAATACGTGATGACAGCAAGCGCGGGAGAGCGGCCACAAAACACGTCCATCGAAAACAAAGGAGACAAAGGAAGCTGTAGTCACGTGTGGTACTCACCAGGCCTGCCTTGATGACCTCGCCGACCCCGGAGAGTAATTCGCCCAGGCACTCTCCCTCCCGCGGTCGGGATACCGTTTGCAGGATACCGGCACTGCCTACAGGACGGAAACTGAGTTTATTGGGCGGCGGCAGTGACGGCTGATCCTGGGACCCGGAATTCGACGGCGGTGATTGCAGAGGCTGCTCGGATGGCGGGCTTTGCAACGTGTATTTATTAAATGTTACGCTCTTGGACAGCTTCGAGTGCCGCGCGGCATAACCTTCGATCGTTGGCGCTCTCATTAGCCTCTTCAGCTCGGCGGTCGCAGCTTGTCGATCTGGTATGCTTGTTACCGAAGTCTCGCTACTGCTTGCCCTACTACTGCTAGCCGATAGTTTCTTCAGGATACTCTTCAAATTCCGCCTCTCGAGCGTCTCGTTCTCTGGCGAGAGCTGCTCCACTGACGACACTGACGCTTGTCGAGCCTATTACGAAATGAAAATTCGAATTAGAAATTGAATATTGAACATTTGTATTATGTTTGAATTAAATCTTTTTCTTTGATATGTTATTTTTCACATAATTTTAAATATCAAATAATGTTTTCTAAATAATTTATAGAAACTAAAAAAAGAGAATAAAAAGAGAGAGTATGCTTGGCATGCAATCCGATTTTCTTTCAAAATTTGATTTTTTTTAAAATTAATACATAGATATAATCAAACTAGAGGAAAAGTTATTACGTGTAACAGAAAAATACATAATTACTACTTACTTGATTGTACTTGGCCAGCTTCCTGGCGTACTCGATAGCACAGGCCTCCGAGTGACTCCTCGTGAGGTTGCTGTCAAATTCTAGTTCGACATTCTCGCCACAGTCGAGGGACGAGCTTCTGACCGCCTTTTCCAATTCGGCCAGCTTCTGCCTCTCATTGAGAATTTTGAGCTTCTTGACGAATGGCAGACCGCAGTACTCTGGCGAGAGATCATCAACAGAGGCATACATTTTGGTCTGCTGTAGCTTTCTGGCCGGCGGGCTTTTCTGCGATGAATTGTCCTTGGTAGTCAACGACGCGTTTTTCAGCGCGACCCAGGGCTTCTTGGCCGCTATTCGCGTTTCGACTTGCGAGGGCGTGATAGCCGTGATGATCGCGATGTCGTTTTGACTGTTCGAAGATGGCTGTTCGTCGGACTGAGTGCTCGTCTCTTCAGGAATAGCGTTCTTGGGTAGCAGATGTTCCTTGGTGCTCGGCGTCTCCTTTTCTGTTTGGGCGGCTTCCTGCTCGTTTTTTGCTTTCAGCAAGAGTATTCTTTGCAGGAATGGTAAATTCGGATTAGTGGGGTTCAAGGCCTCCGAGGGTGGCGGTGCTTGAGGCTCGGTCGCATGACTCGGCGTGTCCATCAGGTTGCGTCGTTCGTCCCTCTCCTCCTTCTCTTTCAACAACCTGAGTCTCGATAGCAGCGGTAAGCCGGCACCTAACGGCGATACCGTCACCGGTGTCTCCTGGTTGTTGGGCAGAGTTAAGTCCTGACTCTCGTCGATCTTTTGTTGTCTCCTCAGAGCCGGAACCTTCGGTGCCAGCGGCTGTAGCTCCAGGCTCTCTTCCGGCCGTGTGTTGCGTCTGCTCTTCCTCAGGACATTCTTCAGGCCTTTCACATCGCTCTTTAACTTGTCGACAATTCTTTTGCCGGTGCTGTTGTCGGATGAATCGTGGCCCGGAGACGTAGGTCGGCGCCATGCTCGCGCTACTCTCTGTGCTTCCATCAGTCGCTTTCGACCGAGATTCTGCAGAATTTCCTGCGCCTCCGGATAGTCCTTCATTGCTGCCAGCACATCCTCTCGTGAGAGGCTGAATAGCTCGGAGTAACCCACCGAACGAACATCGGCTGTGCGTCTAAAAATTTTTCCGAAATTTAAAAAATTTTAAATTTTAACTTCTCAACTTAGAGTCACGTTTTAATCGTCAGTAACAAAAGTTTAAATATTAATCTCTCGTGAAAAGTTAATATTTTAAAACAAATTGTGAGATAAAAAATCGTTACGCGATCTTCATTTCGACATAGAAAAGACTTGAAGAAATTCACTCACTTATTCAATCCGTCCAGATTGAGTATACCAATCTCGCCGAAAAAGTCCCCTGCCTTCATTGTCGTTAGGACTCTGCCAGTCTCACTGATCACCTCCAGAATACCGTCGGCTATTATGAACATCTCGCGAGCAACCTCTCCCTTCCGACATATCGAATCACCGGGGGTGAAAATGTAGGCCTTCATCTTCAGGACGAGATCGTGCAGAAATTCCGGCTGACACTCCTGGAAGATTTGAATATAAGTTGTGATATCAAATATAAGTTATATATTAGATATAAATTATTCATTACTTTCTTTCACGTGTATATATATAAATTTACATGAATAAGTTTATAAACTTTAATCTTTAGAAAATCGAGTTTTAAAATGTTTCTCGAGTTTTCCCAATAGCAGAAACGTTTTTCTGAATAACAAAATGCAAATTTTACTTCTAATAAGAACAGCCGTTTGGATCTTATTACATCGTTTTGAATTTTAAGAGCGAAAATTCCTTTCGGCATTATTGACTTCATAATCACCTTAAAGTTCACAGCTTCTCACATATTCTCTACAAAAAGGGATAATTTATGAAGATTTAACGCGCATCAAGCATCGGAATTTTTACTCTAAGTCTTTGTCGTACCTCCTATCCTCGTGTGAGAGAAAAATTTTATTTTTGCCTTCATAAATCTTTCGTTAATCATGCAAAAAGCTTCTTACTACCTTGTTGATAAAATTAATGATAAATGGTTTTTGTGAAAAATATATCCATGTTTTCCTATCAAATGTTTGAGTGTTATCTCATATAACTTATTTAATTTTTGAAATATGTAAAATAGAGGAATACAATTTTAAGTAATGTAAACTATTATTTAGTGAAGAAAAAATTTTAATATATAATCAGATATTTTATATGTTATTTATTAACTAATATTTTAGTAAAAAATGCTTAACTTTGCTTTTTATTTATAGTAAGTTACAAATAATTTGCAGAATATTAATTTATATATAACATTATGAACTGCATTAACATCTTTAACCAGAAGTTTTAGCGTATGAATCGTACTATCTACCACGCCTATTCCATGTTATTCGAAACCAATGTCGTCTCCATCGTTCGTCTTATTCTCTATACCAGGTCATATGTCTATCTGATCCATATAGTTACTGTCCCTCATTGTAGTATATTCATATTTTTAACCCTTTAAGTGGCACATTTTTTTCTATTAAACAAATTTTTATTAACGTTTGTATATATATATATTGAAAAATAATTTAAATTCTAATAAGTATAAATTATAAGTTATTATAAATTATAAGTTTTCTTGATGGAGTATATTGATTCTTTACATTTTTTTACACATACATATATATTTACATATACATACAATATATAATATAAATATATATTAAAATATTATATATATGTATAAAAATCTCTGGAAATAATATAAATAGAAACAAATAAGAAAGAGGAAGATTGATCGACATTTGCGAGATTACTCGCAATAGGAACCTTTAGTCGCATTTTGCTCTCGGCAGTGCTTGATGGTCGCGAGACGATAGTCGTAAATTCTTCGTGAGATACGATTCCTTTTCCGCGTTACCTTGTCGGAGTTCTTTGCTAATAGAATCGGCCCTACTCAATCTTTCACCGCGATATTTCATTCGATCGACACACCATCAAACAATGTGACGCGTTTTACATTCTCGCACCACCGCTTTTATTTGAGAAGAGAACACGAGCGATCGAGGCTGTTATCCTCGATCATTGAGGTCTTCTGACTTTTTTATTCAGCAGATCTACAATGGACCTCGTTAAAATGCAGTCGAAGCGGACGCGCGCATTGGCGCAAGCACAACGACACGGAAGTGGAAAAAATATAGGGTATTTGAATTGGTGGTATAAATTGGCGTATTCTTCGATAAGTTCGAGGTCGATTTTTTTGTAGCAAAAATAATGAAGATTTTTTTTTATTTATGAATGATAAAAAGTGGAACACTTGACGCGATCTGAGTCAAAACATAATAATGTAAAATTTTATACTTCATTTAACATCAATTTAATGTTAACTTTATAAAGAATTTTAAATCTCTATTAGCAAAATGTTTAATGATAATATCAAAGTGATAGATTGATTTGAGGATGAGATATTTCATGCTTAAAGTTAAGAAAAATTTGTAAGAATCAACTTCTCGCTCGAAATTAAAGAATATGTCAGTAAAAAAATCTTGTAACATTAATGTAAAAACATCCTGTATATATCTCGACGAAATTTTCGATGATAATTCCAGGAAAACCAGGGTTGCATATTACAAGGATCAGTTGTTGAAACTTTAATTACTCGACTGTTACATACACCGTAAGTGAGTCAAGTCACTTTTGCATGAAAAACTTTGTATGTTATATTCGCAATTACAGTCTCTGGAAAATGCACCCACTATTTCGTATATTTATCTCTTGTTTGAAAAATATATATACATATATTAAATTAAATTGTGTCTATATATCATGAAAGATATTCATTTTTTTTTATCGTCTGATGTAATTGCGAAATAATTAACTGACTTTTCACATGCACTGTAGGTTCAAGGGGGCAATCAATATAGGTGATTACGAGACATTGCGAGGAATCCGGAATTCTCGTTGAAATGGGCTGTGTGGCAGCAATTAAAAGCGGCGTGGACTCGCCAATTACATGTTATACGGCACTTCACGAAAATTTTCTCCGACTGATAATATCGATCGCGCCATCAATGCATCCTATCAATGCTCTCTTTTGGAAAGAACGAGGGATAGGTAGGTAAAATAAAGGGATTCGATGGATTACGCAGACCGGGATTATTTGACCGCTTGAAGCTCACGCAATTCGAGATCTGTCCAATCTAGATTCGCCGCACCGTAAACTTCATTATCTCCGCAGTGCGGAATATCTCGTACACACACACACACACACATACACATTCCTCAGAATAAATATGAGCTACACGTGCGATTAGCGATCTATCAGAATCTTTTGCATGTATAATTTATATTTTCATATAATATTATATAATATTTAATTAATTTTTTTATTTATATGTATATGTTTTTATTTTTGTTTTTTATTGTACATGATACAAAACGATTGTTTCAACAGAATGTTGGTTAATCTGGTATGTAGCTATCAGTATTTCATTTTTCTATAGTTTGCCAGCGAGATTGTTGCATCGTTCTCAATTACACCGTTTGTTTCTAAAAAATATCACAGGCGCGTAATTCAGTGAGGCAAGTAGAAGGTAAGTAGATTACGTTCGAACTCGGGAAATTTCAGCTTTTTCAATTTAGATTCGCGGGTAGTAGCGAGTGAACTTCATTATCTCGACCATACGTGCTTTTTCGAAACGCACACATTCGATCGTGAGGGTAATTCTAACGAGAACGATTTCGTGTGGATAACTATTTCGAAATTGAACGCCCAATCTCTGATATCTAAATTTTTAATTCGCGTCATTGTATATTGAATTAAACTTTTATATTTTCATCTTTTTTTTACGTTGGTCGCGTAACTACCTTGGGAAGTTAATTAAACGTTAGAAAACAATTTCTTCAAGTTATTTCCTCTAACAAGAAGCCAAACTTTTTCGTGACTTGCAACTCCGCATCTCTCTCTCTCTCTCTCTCTGTTTCTTTTTGAACCTTCATTTTCTAATTTAATTATCGCCGTTTAAATCTCGTAATGAATTTCGAGAAATTTTGCTAAGCATTGCGTGTTTTCACTTTTCTTTTATGACTGTAGATTCTGCGCTAAATGATCTATGACAAGTACTTTATCAAACTCGTTCAACTCGGAGTGTAATCGTAAATTAGCAAACTGCTCGCGTAAACGTATTTGAAGAAAGTAACGAACGATTTTTACCACCAGACAAATCGATATTTTATATGCCGCAATATCGCATTCGTCTAACATTAATTGTTTAAAAAAAATAATAAGTAAGAGGCTTTTTTAAAATACAGTTTAGTTTATTTTATGTGTGTGTTTCCTGACGAGTAAACTTCATTCTTTGAGACCGAAGAAATGTTTGTCTATAATTTTATAGATTTTTATATATTTTACTAAATTTTTCAACTGTGTTTTTTTCGAAAATATAATTTTGGACTTTAATTCTCTTCTTTTTCAAAATGTAATATTATCGTTCATATTGTCTATTTCTTTCAAAAGTTATGAAAGAGATTTACAGTGATAAAATACTATAAGCGTACTATTGTAAGGCAAGTTGACTGTTTCAGACGAATAAAGGGTTCGACGAGAAAATAGATAGGATGCAGTTGGAAATGAAACAATTTTTGTCTCGATGTCCCAACAGAGGACAGCTAAATTTTCCATTAAAACGTTTTTCGACGCCTTCCGCTGCGTCCCGTTTATTTTGCGCCATTCCAGTTAGTTTCTCTCGACTTCGAAAATACCGGTCGATCCGAAAACCGTAACCATAATTTAGATCCTGCCCGTGAAAGATACGCGATAAGCAGCTCCGGTTTACTTTAAGAGATATCGAGAAACGTTGGGAAATAAAATAAACTTTATTGTACACTAGAAACGAGATTTCTCCAAAGCCGGATAAGGCACTTTGCAACGACGCTTTCTGTACTGTCATTGTAATTGCAAGAGTTTCGATTAAAAATCGAAAATAATTATTTAAATATCTACAACAAAATTGAAAGCCATATCCTAAATTGGCAGTGCATCGCAATAAATTCAAATGCTGCGTTAAAATTTCATATATTTGAGTCCTCTTAAATATTTGTGCGCATATAACTTTCAGATATTAAAAATTTATCAAATAATATATTCAATATTCACCTGAGAAATGTTGTTTTTAATAAGATTTATATGCCGGTTGCATCAGAATATTTGAAAGGAATTTACTCGGAACGCGATACAGTCACGCGTAACTCTATCTCAGTGTCATTTATTTCTACTTTTCTGCATTCTTTTTTCTTTCATCATCTCTCTTTTCCGTACAAAGAAAGAAGGAAAGGAAAGGAAGAAGAGCGAGGGGGAAGGATATTCCGAAGTAATGGAAATTCTTCGGATATACGAAGATGACGGCCGAGCAACAGAAAGCGAGTTTCCTTTTTCACCAACTTCGATTTTGATCTCCTTTTACGTTTTTCTCTTGTCCGTTGCGGTTATCCAATGCGGAAATTCTGTGATTAAGTGGAGTGTGAACTTTGACAACTCCGTAACACGAACAAACAAATT